AGAAAAATTCTACGTCGTGTCTAAGTAGCTCCCTTTATAAAATCCCTTTGCCTTTTTGAGTACCTCGCGGTCTCCTGCGAACTTCAGGGGCTTTCCTCAGCGTGGCAAGGTTATCTAACTCATTCTTGCCACTCCCTTATATATCCCGGGCTCTACCAGTCAGTTATGCCTTTGCCCTTCTCAGCTCCTGTGTCACCGGTGTTCAATATGTTGGCTGTCAAGGATATTTCTTCTCATTGAACTGCCGTGTCCATGTGACAGAATGAGCTTGCCAAGAGTATCTCTCCATGTTTAGTATGCCGCTTCCTGGCCTGAATTGAGACCAATATTACAGGAAAGGTTCATGGAATGGGTCCAATCATGCAGTGTAAGATTACAACCTCCGGATCGAGAGGCTTATCCTGCCACGTTGTTGAACACTGTCTAGAGCCCAAACCCAGGCCGGAGAATGTGACGGCAGCAGCAGAACATTGCATGCCACACAACTCTCTGGGACAAAGCTTTATAGCCTTGGAGGGTACGTGCCAAACGTCCTTGGAATAAGCGAAAGATCTTTGCGAAGGTGCGGAAGCAGTTAATAACTCTAATGCCACGGTCGTTTGACTTTCGATGTCTGTGTCGTCTACACAATACCAGGCAAGGATGGACTGATCATTAGTCGTCTTGATGATTTTCTGCTGGAGCCGTATAGATGCTTTGGGCCCTTCCCCATAGAGAAGCGGCATGTTCACGCCAAAAAGGCCTAGAAGGCAACATGCTTCATCCTCTTTCCTTGTAGTTTGGTGCCTCGACGCCCAGTACATCTTACTAGCGACGCTAACGCTCTGCAGCGACACAGTTCCAGCAAGGACACACGCGTCAACCAGATTAGCTTTGGAGACTATGAATAAGAGGTTGTTATCGTTCTTTTCACCTAAGTAAGTCCATTCTCTTGTGAAAAACTCAACTCGCTGCGGTGCGATAAGTTCCTGCACAGTCCAGCCGCGTGTGAACCAACAACTGCCCTTGAAGCCGTTAATGGTGTCGACATCTAAGAGATAAGCGTAGCAGACGCTTGATTCAGCGTGCCAGCGGTGCATTGAATGATGGCCTCCAATAACTCGGCGCTGCTGGACTTGTCGATGCAAGCAGCATCAATCCATATATAGTCGTAGCCTTGCTCCTTTGCTAGCTTGCAGGTGCCTTGACCGTTGCAAAACCCGCTTTTTTTCGCGCCTGTTTTAGTGAGCATGTTACATCTGCAAAGGGAACTTCTTTCCCACAGGTATGCGATAAGATGGCATATTTAAGGACCGAGCCGATGAAGTCCTCGACCTGTAACGTTTCGATGTGTAGTAATCTCATGGTTGCATAGGTTTCAGAGATCGGAAGTGTTTTCAGGCAATGAGTGTAGTCCTAATAAGAGGGCAGCGATGGTATAGCCTGAGAGAGCCCGTCCAAGACTTTCACCCACGTATCCGGGTCTGTTTTATATCTGAAGAGCTTTGGTTCACGAATTTTTAGGACGGAGTTAGGCCAGGTTGTGTATCATCGCCCTACGCTATGATTAGGCTGAATATATGAGCATGCAGCATCGCCACAGTCAGCATCCCGGCAGTTTGTGTCAAATCGGCGATCTAATTGATAGATAAAGCATGGAGACAATAATGAGCTACTGGAGATGTTGCCTTAGAACAGAGAGGTACGTTCTCGACAGCGTTCTGTTCAAGGCATTCAAGAGCTGGGCACATTGCACCCAAGTTAAGCAGCCTCACTTTCGACCCAAGCCCCCCAACCTCTCAACCACGGCCTCCGTGGTGGGCCTAATCAGATGACTCTCAAACACGAAAACCAAAGGTTTCTCTCCCAAATCTGCACCTACCATTTTCAATATGGCAATGGTACCCTCACTATTGTATGGCTTGGCTCAACTCAGCATAGGTCCTTTCAGGGCCGGGGCTAGGGGTCGACTGATACCTACCGGCCTCGGTGCGGTGGAAGCAGTCTTGTCCCAAGCCGCCCATGCGGCCCTCAGGGTTCTCTTCCCGGTCTGGCGTACCATCACAACGCCGTGGCTATGGTCGATCGCTGGACTATACCCACGGTACCTACTAGACCGGGAAAAGTACAGATGGCGGAAACGCGTCCAAACTCTACCTCTGGACCATCCACTATGGGGAAGGCTACAAACTTCTCCACACAAAGACTGGTCTCGGCTACATCAAGCAATCCAAGGCATCCAACCAGGCCCTCTTTGGGAGTCACGGCGTCTGGGGCCCAGAGCTTAGCTCGGACTCCGCTCAGCCTCGCCCAGGCCGCGAATGGTCCCCGCCTGCGGATATGGTGTCATTGTGGAGGGCCAATAAACCGCATTCCAGCCTCTGGGACGACCCTTCAGCCAAACCTTTCCTCAGCCTGTTCGACAGGAGGTAACTTGCTAGGTAGCTTCCCGAGGCATCGGGACATGGTGACTTCCTCGAATATCACGTCCGGTTCAACCGCCCTCCGAGTGCAATTGAAACTTGCTCTTGCGGCGCGACAGTTTCTAGAGGCCACTTCCTCCGATGCCCCCTCTCCCCCTTTTAACAACCAACTTGCTGGCCAGGGACCATCAAATAGGACAAACCATCACCAGTACGTCCTTTCCGCTCTCTCTCACGCACGACTGTACAATCTCGAACGATGCGCACCCCTGATGACAAAGAATCAAAGCCAGAAGAACCTCTAGTTTGGACATCTACATACCTCACGCTCTCCCCTCCTAACCCAACTTTCTTTCCTTCTTTCCCCCCTACATATTTTCCCTTCTCCAATACCACCTCTTTATTTCATGGATACACACCGGTTTTCCCTCTTGGTTTTCCCCGCGTGTACATAGGTTGAACTAGTCAGTGCATATGTACCTTTTGCTGCCGGCGTCGTGGGCACGACCGAGTACCCTCATTGGTGATGCGTGTTGAAAATGCAATTCAAATGCTAAAGCGGCCTTGAAACTCGGGTAATATGGGATACCTGATTACTGGACGGAGCATAGGCGCGCAAAGACGTCGATGCTTCACCTTGTGCAACATCTCCCTCCGCACAGCACAGAGAAAACCACATGTCAACACTCAATTAGAACTGAATCCAGGATCAACGTGAATAGAACGCAAATCTATCACCACATCGTCTGAATCGGGCCGACCGCTTAATATTTCATCCTAGCCTTGGGTGATGTTTTCGAAACGTCTCGTTTAACAAAGCTTGAATGTGTAAGATTCTTTGAACTGTTAATTTGACATATCTCCCGGGTCGACCATGAAGAGTCAAAAATTAGAGCTCACGTCTGACTAGAGAATCTTATTGCATAGTGTATGGCATCTAATACTGAGCGTCACGATCCACAGGGGCTCTATCTGGAAGAGTGAGTCCTGTGCAGCCAACTGATCGGAACAAAAGGGAGCTGTGGCCCATCAAAATCAGACATCTGCCCCAATAACCAAGCATTGAGAAGGCGCTCCTCAACGCCAAGAGGCATTTGTCCTTAACACCCAATGATGTTGGCCCTCAACAGTCTGTGCCATTGAGCAGGAGTGAACAAGGAAAGTCACAAGGGTGTATGAGATGTATATAGATTCCAGGCAGGGCCATCTGGCCGAAGAAGCTCTCCAGTCAGCAATACAAACAGCTGTCTGTTCAACCGTTAATCACAGCGATCATTCTGACTGTGTGAGAACTCCTGTCTTTCAGGTCCAGCGGCCTGGCACCTCTCGAGCCCATCTCAGGAGGCCTCTGGATTCGTCACAACCCTTTTGCCAGCGTATAGAGCTGTGTAAGCTCGAAAAGCTCAAGTTAAAAATGTCAAGGAAATCATAGCATCCAGGGGCTCCGGTAAATTTCGTTCGGTAATAATCATCTTTTATCATCCAGGCCGCTTCATGCAGAGGCTCATCAGCTGCCTAGCTCCCGAAGCCCGAAACCGTGGACGTCACCTCCGGTTTAAGACTACCTCCAGGGCTGGAGTTGCTAGTCAGTATACAGTCGTAGGATATGCTGGGACAACAGCTATAGAAATCAACGGGCTTTGGAACCAAACTAAGTGCATTTGATGACGGGGTGTGATGGATGATTGTAGTAACCTGCTGTGCGTGCCATTGGCTAGCATTAGTTGTTGGAATCTGAGGCTTTTGTGCAGGATAATCCGGAGCATATGTTCATGTAGATGTTAGCGTTCGGTTCTCACCGCTCCATTTGCTGGACTTTCAAAGCTATTTTTTTGTGTTGCTGCAACGATTTGTTGTTCAACATTTTGCATATTGTTGTGGGAGATGTCTAATGTTAGTAACAACTTGATTGCACCTGAGCTGAGTTGATATTTTCTTAAGGCGTAGGCTCCCTGTTCCAACCCCTCTGATCATCTAGAGTATCTTTGGCTAGGCCTCTTATGTCAATCAAACTTGCCTGGACCAAGACAGGTAGCGAGACATCTCATCACCATGTTCAACCCTACCCATCACGTACGACCATACCCAGTGGAAAGCACGGCATCCCGTCCGCTCTGCCCTTGTTAAGCCACTGAGGGCCCGGTCAGTAGTTGGGTCGGTGACGACCAGCGAATCCCAGGTGTTGTACGTCTTTTTTTCCTTCTGATTTTAGCTCCCGGCGCTCTGTGTTATGTCACTGCGTCCCGCCTCTCAACACTTGGGTTTAACGACGATTGCTGGGGAAAACAATAATCAAGTGGAACGCGGTTTCGCGTCGCGCATCCGCGGAACATTGTAAAAAAAAAAAAAAAAAAAAATGGAGGTTTTTGGTAACTCTTGGGCTGGGCCCACACTGATGTTATCGATAGAGCTCTCCAAGAAGACCCTTGTCACCCCCGCTGTCTGGGTGCTTATCAATCACGATAAGAGGATTCTCAAGCAAAAAATCATTGACCCCGCCATTGGTATATTGCAAATCGGCGACGGTCCTGGAGAGTTGTTTCCATTGTCTCGTCGCAAGCACCGCCGTTACTCTCAGTTCGCACACAAGCCGCAACAATGTCGTCATCAAAACAGTATCAGCAGCAGCCAGAGGATGAGGAGCTCGGCCCAGTCACAATTGCCGAGGACGAGGTCGAGGAGATCCTCGATGTTGAAGACCCCGACGGCGACGTCGCCATGGGCTCTGACGACGAGGGCCCCGAGGAGATTGCCCTCGAGAACGATAGTATCGCTTATTTCGACGGCCATAAAGACTCTGTTTTTGCCATTGCTCAACACCCTTTGTACCCGAACATCGTTGCGACCGGCGGTTCTGAAGGCGACGCCGACGATGCCCCTGGCAAGGGCTACGTTCTCGACATCTCAGCTGCTGCCGGACGCCCTGTGCTGCCCCCTAGCTATAATTCCGACCCTTCGTCAGCCCCTCAGCAAAACACCTCGCTGAACCCCATTTTCGAGATCGACGGCCACACCGACAGCATCAACGCCTTAACATTTACCCTCCCGCGCGGCGATTTCCTCGTTAGCGGCGGCATGGACGGCCGCATGCGCGTGTATGCCGTTTCTGTGCCTCAAAATGGCGCGCTTGCCCAGTTCAAGTTCCTCGCCGAGTCCCAGGAAACAGAAGAGATCAACTGGTTTGCGCCGTGCCCGTCGCCAGACCACCCTAATACCATAGCGCTTGGCGCATCTGACGGCTCAGTCTGGGTATTCACTCTCGACGCAAGCGATCCATCCAACCCAGTTCAGATCGTCCAGTCCTATTTCCTGCACACCGGCCCTTGCACGGCAGGAGCCTGGAGCCCCGATGGTTTGCTGCTTGCTACCGTCAGCGAGGACGAGTCTTTGCACGTGTACGACGTATTTGGTGTCGCAGCAAGCAAATCCCTCGTCACCGACAACGGCCAAACTGTGGTATCCCTCACAAACGTCGACCAACGCTTCGCTGTCGAAGGCGGCCTCTTTTCCGTCGCCGTTTCCCCCACTGGTGCAGTCGTAGCCGTCGGCGGTGCCGGCGGTCAAATCAAGATCGTCGGTCTCCCACGCCTCTCCCAGCCCCAACAACCACAATCCCAGTCCCAATCCCGGACAGGCAAAGCCCCCGCCGGCCGCGCTGGCCGCCCTTCTCAGCAACAACAAACTACCTCCCATCAAGCCGGTACCATCCTCGCCTCCCTCCAAATCCAATCCGACAACATCGAATCCCTCGCCTTCTCCCCGTCAGCCCCTATTTTGGCAGCCGGCTCAACAGATGGTTCCATCGCCGTCTTCGATACATCCCGCTCCTTCGCTCTGCGTAGACACTTGCGCGGCGCACACGCCGAGGACCCGGTCGTCAAGGTCGAGTTCGTCAAGTCGCCTCCGAACGCGGCGATGGCTGGGTGGTTGCTTACCAGCTGTGGCATGGATGGCGTGGTGAGGAGGTGGGATTTGCGGGGTGGCACTGCTGGGCCGGGAACGCTGCCTCATATGCAGCATTTACAGCAGCAACGTCAACAGCAGCAGGAGGGAGCTGCGCCAAGCGGGTTGGTGAAGGAATGGAAAGGACATCGGAGTGGACAGGAAGGGGGTGGTGTGTTGGGGTTTGTGCAGGGAGAGACGGGAGAGAGGATTGTTACGGTTGGTGATGATGCTGTTGTTTTGGTGTTCGAGGCTTGAGTCGATATCGCCGGGGATATTCCATCATGTATAGATCTTTGGGGAGGAACTGTATAGACGGATGCCGCCAACTGTGTTGGCTGGAATGAACAATGATGACAAGAGCGCACACATTCTCGCTCTTGATGTGACCAACGCAATTATTCATTCCTATTTACTTTTCCCAACTCACAGATAAAAACGAAAAACCGACCGCAAACAAACGTTACTCCATACACTGTCTACTGTTGAGCCCTCCCATCAGCAAAGCCAGGCACGTCTAACTGCCGTCTATCCCGAAATTCAGTGTTGAAATCCCTCTCTACACTCCCCGACAGAAATGGGTATATCGGCTGTTGAAAGAAAATATGAAACGGTGTTGAAGACAGGAGCTTGCGAATCCATGCTCGCTGAAAGTCCCGTGCAGTTAACTCAAGAGAAGCGGTTTACTCCTGGGTGGTGTCCTGGACAGGAGGGCAAGTGCAGAAGAGGTTGAGATCACCGTAGGCTGCACTTTATTAGCATCCATCTTGTACAACAATCACACAACGTGGAACTTACTGTCATCCAACCGTGCCACGCTAGGCCAGAACTTCTTCTCGCGCAGCCACGGCAGCGGGTACGCTGCCTTCTCCCTGCTATACGGCCGATCCCACTTGCCCTCGCCATCACCATCAATAAGATCCTGCATCGGGTGCGGCGCCAACTTGAGCACGTTCCTATCGCGTGGCTGCTTCCCCTCCTCAATCTCGCGAATCTCCTCGCGAATGCTAATCAGCGCATCACAGAAGCGATCCAGCTCCTCCTTGCTCTCGCTCTCCGTCGGCTCAATCATGAGCGTGCCTGGAACAGGCCAGCTCATGGTGGGCGCGTGGAAGCCGTAATCCTGCAGACGCTTGGCGATGTCAATAGCCTCGATGCCAGCAGACTCCTGGAACGGCCGGGCGTCCAGGATGAACTCATGTGCGCAGCGTCCATGCTCGTTGGTGTACAGGATGGAGTAATGCGGCTTGAGCCGGCTGAGCATGTAATTGGCGTTGAGCAAGGTCACCTGGGTAGCCTTCTTCAGGCCGTCGCCGCCCATGAGCGTGTTGTAAGCCCACGGGATGGGCAAGATGGCCGCACTGCCATGAGGAGCGCTGGCGACCGGCCAGTTGGTGGTGTCCTTGACGTAGGCCGGCTTACGGGCCGGGAGGTGCTTAATCAGGTGGCTCTTGACGCAGATGGGGCCAACACCAGGGCCGCCGCCGCCGTGGGGGATGCAGAAGGTCTTGTGCAGGTTCAAGTGGCACACATCGGCGCCGATCTCACCCGGCGAGCACAGGCCGATCTGAGCGTTCATGTTGGCGCCGTCCATGTAGACTTGGCCACCGTACTTGTGGACGATCTCGCACACCTTCTTGATGTTCGGCTCGAACACACCATATGTGCTTGGGTAGGTGATCATGATAGCCGCCAGCTCATCAGCGTGCTTCTCGCACTTGGCTTCGAGATCAGCCAGGTCCAGGTTGCCCGTCTTGGTGTCGCACTTAATGGGCACCACACGCATACCAGCCATGGCAGCCGAGGCCGGATTGGTACCGTGGGCTGAGACGGGAATCAGGCAGATGTCGCGGTGACCTTCGCCGCGGGACTCATGGAACTTGCGAATGGTGCGCAGACCGGCAAACTCACCCTGGGCACCCGAGTTCGGCTGCAAGGAAACTCCGTCCATGCCCGTAATTATCTTCAACTGATTCTTGAGACCAGTGATAAGGCCATCGTAACCATGAGTGTAGCTGAAGAAAGTGTAGGGATGAACGCGTAGCCAGTGGTCATGCGAGATTAACGACATCTCAGTGGCGCCGTTGAGCTTCATGGTGCAAGAGCCAAGCGGGATCATGGAATGAACCAAGGACAGATCCTTGGACTGGAGGTGGTAGATGTAGCGGGTCAACTCGGTTTCGGAGTGGTACAAGTTGAACACGGGATGCGTCAAGTAGGGGGACTGTCTCTTAAACCCGGGGCTCAGGCGATCAACTGAGGTGGGCTTTGCCTTCTCTTCGGCAATGAACCGAGTCAATAGCTGATGGCATTGAGTAGAGTTCGCTTCACGGTCGTTCTCCGGGCACCCATTGACGAACTCGTCGAAGCTCTGAATAACACGGAGCAGGTCGAGTTCCCGTGTGGCTTCATCAACACTAATGCACCATAAATTGCCCTCTGCCACCCGAGCATTGATGCGTCTCTTGGAACAAATCAAATTGAGCTTCATAGACGCATCGGTATCCTTCATCTTGATGGCGAGCGTGTCGAAGGCCACAGGCGGGGCGTCGGCAGGAACAAGGCCAAAGTGTTTGGCAGCAGCCTGTAGCACCCGGGCGCCCAGATTGCACTTCTCAGCGATACGCTTCAAGCCCTCAGGACCATGATAGATGGCATAAAAAGCGCTCATATTGGCAAGCAGCGCCTGAGCAGTGCATACGTTGCTGGTGGCCTTCTCTCTCCGGATGTGCTGCTCTCTCGTCTGTAGGGCAAGCCGGAGAGCACGGCGACCGGTCCTGTCCTTGGAGACACCGACCAGACGGCCAGGCATCTTGCGCTTATATTTCTCCTGGACGGCGAAGAAAGCAGCGTGCGGGCCGCCAAAGCCCAGGGGAATGCCGAACCGCTGGGAGTTGCCAAGCGCAATGTCGGCACCCCACTCACCAGGGGGGGTCAGGAGAGTGAGAGCCAGCAGGTCAGTCGCCGCGGCAAGCAGAGCACCTTGCTTGTGAACAACCTCAGCCAGGACCTTGTAGTCGCTCACATTACCGTAAGTGTCCGGATACTGAACCAAAACACCAACTAAATCTTCTCCCAGAGCCTCGATATCCGAGTAGTCGCCCTTGGAAAGGTCCTTCAGTACGACATTGACGCCAAAACCCTCGGCACGACTGCGCAGCACGTTGATGGTCTGAGGATGGACATTCTCATCGACGACATAGGTACGACCGGGGCGCTTAGCCCGCGTAGTCGGCAGGGTGTTCAGAGACATAGTCAAGGCCTCAGCAGCAGCAGTGCCCTCATCGAGCAAGCTGGCGTTGGCAACAGGCAGGCTGGTCAGATCAGAAACCATGGTCTGGAAGTTGAGCAGCGACTCAAGACGGCCTTGGCTAATCTCGGGCTGATAGGGCGTGTAGCTGGTGTACCAGGCAGGGTTCTCAAAGACGTTGCGCTTAATGACCTCAGGAGTCCGGGCCTCGTAATAGCCCATGCCGATCATATTCTTGCCCAGGATCCCATTGCGCCAGGCCATGTTCTTAGCAAGATCCTGGACCTCATACTCCTCCAGACCCTCCTTAACACCGTATTTCTGGGCACTATAGTAGTTATGGTGGTCATGGAACAGCTCGCGCTGCGTCAGAATGTCGGCCGGAATGACCTGCTTCACGAACTCGTCGAGTGACTCAACTGGCGGGTCAAGGGTCTTGAGCATCTCCTGAATGTTCTCATCATTGGGGCCGATGTGTCTGTCGACGAACTTCTCGTGGGAGCGAAAGAGACGGGCCCTCATGGCAAGACGTATGCCCTCTGGCTGCTTCGGCTCCGTCGATGGCCTCGGCTTTGGCGCCTTCGCATAGCACCGCGTCGTGGTAGCATTGACTGTGACGGCGGCGGCCCTGAGGGTCAAGGGAAGGTTCAGCGGTGAGGTACCGCGAACGACGAGCGCAGAAGCGCCCAGCTTGGGGCCGAGGCGGCCAATTTGCCTGGATGCCATCGAATCGAGGAGCTAGGATGAAGGTTGGCTCAAGGCTCGCGCCGGACACACAGCGCAAATGAAAGACCGTGAAGAGGCAGGCCGAATTTGTCCGGGGAAACTCTGGACCTCGATGAAAGAAAGGCGGAAAAAGAAAAGATGATGGGGTAGAAAGAAGGCGGGGACGGTCGAGGTCTGGGTTCTTCAGAAGAAGTCTTATGGAGGGACGCCACTCCACCGTCACGGCCCCAGAGTTTGTGTTTTGCAAAATCAGACGGCCTGTCTCCCAAAAACACCAACTAATCGCGGATCTTCGCTGTCCGATTCTCCAAGGAAATCGGACAAAAGTGAACCACAGCCGCGGCCTGGTGAGACGAAGGGAGCCTCGACTCTCCCCGAGTGGCACAGAACAGCACCACGTCGCAGGGCCCCCGGGACCCCGCTATCATCGCTATCACGCCCGTTGATTTCTCTGAATTTTAGATCGATAAGAAGTTATCGGGTATTTTCGGCCCGGCCCACGAAAAGGAAGGCCTGCCGCGGCCTCTGAAAACCGATTGGCCAGCCCTGTCCCCTGGGTCCTGTGTGGGTCGCTGCCAAGACCCAGCATTAGGGTCGCACGCCTGCACGTTGCAGCCGCCGACACCCAGGATATATCCCTTTGAGGCATGGCGTCACGGTTCTCCAGAAAACGTCCAAAAAAATTTCCAGACAATCCGTTGCATCGCCGTTCATCTCCAACCTCCATCCACCAACCACTCCACCCGGCCAGCGCTTTTCTATGTCTAGCCCATCGACCACCTTCCCTTTAGCTTTATACATACTCGTACATAAGTAAATCCTGCTGTCAAAATGTTCGGAGGTTGTAAGTCTTGTGCTCTCGCGGAGTATCAAAAAGCTACATTTTAACCTCCCTCTCTCAGTCCAACCGCCCCAGCCCTCCCCGGAAGAGCTCCGTGCCGCCGAGGCCGAGGCTGCCTCTACCATCCAGCGCGCCATCGCGACCGCTGCTGTCCTCTATCTTTGTATGTCACCACACCAGGCTGATATATCTGCGACGCCAAAGGATCTAGCCCCTAACCATTGATGCAGCACCTTTCATTGTCGATGCCGTTTACAAGATGTTCTAAACGGCACCTATGATTAGCATCATATGCCAAGTCAATGTCATCTGGCGTTTACGATATGCGTGAACTTCACGGCTTGACAACCCCATCCCGAAGCAGAATTGGGCCGTTGCAACCAATTCTGGATGCTGCCTGAACGGGGGACGAAGGGTCTGTCTCGACATCGAACCATATTCATGATTCCTAATTTGCGAGAACGAGAATAATGAACACGCCGTTCTCGATGTACACTACGTCATGCGCAATCTCTGCATATCTAAGGGGACTTGGAAGGTTGGACGGAATTGATGGATTCATCCATAGAGGAAGGTCAAAGTCATGGATGTGGGCATGTTCAGCAAATGACGCATTACACTTGAGCAGATTACCTCATCCAACTTCTGATCGCCCAACGCCAGCCTGTTTTGTGGATAACTCTAACCAGGTGAACGTAGGAAAACCACCAGACTACCTCATCTGCTGAGTCCATAGTGACAAACATTACTCTTAACATCGCCGCCATGGGTATCAAAGAAGAGGCAGAGAGTTTAACTGAGTTAGCGCGCCGGTGCCGGCGCAGGGTTGTGTTGCTTCTCCCACTCCTCGAAATCCTTCTTGGCCTCCTCAACCTGCTTCTTGAGATGCTGGAGTTGCTTGTCATAATCCTCAAGAATCTGCGCTTCATGTTAGTCGTCTCGCGTCACTTTGGCAGGCCAGAATAGGGTCTCACCTTCTTCGCCTTAGCCTCAATCTCCTCACCCAGCCCGTCACTCTCCGTAATCCCCGCCTGATTAATCTGATCCTTCAGATCTTCCGCATACCCCCGGAGCACGATCAATCTGCTCCACAGCTCTTCCAGCCTCGAACCCTGAGCGGGATCATTCAGCGTCTTATCAATCTGCTGCAGCTTCTGCTTAAGTTCATCCTCGTCCCCGCTAAGGGCGTATCCGCGGTTGCGCAGAACCTGCACACGCGCAGCCAGATGCAGGCACCGGCGACTCAGCTCGGCGTGGCGCCGGCGCGCGTTGAACGCGCGCACCGTGTGGTCCAGGTCGTGCCGCGATAGGATCGCGTCTAGGCTTGCGTTGATCTGGTGCAGCTTATTGTTGAACTCGGTGATAACCCGACGCTGGAGCATCAAACGCGCGACGATCGAGGGGAAGCCCGAGCAAAGAACGGGAATGAAGTTGGGCGCTGGCTTGCGCTGGAGAGCTTCTTCCCATTCCTTGGGGTCCTCGTTCGGGCCGGGCCCGTAGAGAGGGACAGTATGCTCGTCGACCTTGTTGTAAAGGTAGGTCTTGAAGGCGCAATTCGGATGGTTCGGGTTCCATTTGTCCACGATCAGCTTTATCTGCTCGGGAATTGGCTTCTGGTCTGGGTTCCAAACGCAAAATATACAGTTAGCGAACGGAAGAATCAAGTAGTATCGCCCAAGCGGCGGTTGATGAAGTCGCCGATCGAAGGTCATGAGCATTGTGATAAGTGATGTTGACGGGAAGAAACAAACTTACAGGCTGTGAGGCTACCTGGTTGCCATAATGAACCACCAAGTTGTTGGTTTTGGTTTATTTGCGACTGGCCCAGCGCAGGCGCAGCTTGTTGCTGTTGCTGCTGGAGAGGTTGCTGCTGTTGCTGGGGCTGCTAAAGTAGAAGCAGTCAGCACGTTTTGTTTCATGGCTCGGGCGGCGGCAGACTGCTTTGCGCTTACATTCGCCAGCGATTGACCAAACAGACCACCTCCTGTGTTGGCCCCAAACAGAGATTGGCCCGCAGGCCTGGTGTTTAATGACGAAAACATGAGGATAGTTGAAAGCTTCGACGGCGAGGGTCGCACCAGGAGTCGTGGATGGGCAGCTTGCTGTCGGCACGAACAGTCGACGGTGGATGAACGTAGCCAGAGGTAATGCGCAAAGAAACCCTTAAAAGGATTCCGGCCGTGTCTAGACAAAGGGTCTTAGTGATGCAGGTGGTCAGGTGTTGGCGACAACCTGGAGCCACTGGCGCGATCGAGAAGCAGCGGCAACTTCAGGTCGGCGAAAAAACACACTCCACCGTGATGCCAGCGCGACGGGGCGACAATTCCAAGCCAAGCGTTGCTGCTTGGCATCGACAAAAGTCACCTGGGGCATGCCGGCGGGTGGCCCAAGCGTCTACCGGGTTCTTAAAGCAGCTGACCAATCAGATCGAAGCTGAATCGACGATGACGGACCCACCCCTCTAGAAAGCCGAACCTCAAGAGGTGGGCGCATCAGACAGCTCCAAACCACGCACAGCGGCACAGCTATCGCAGCGCACGACGGGCCGGTCAACAACGTCAAGATGGCAACTCGCAAGCCGGCGTACGTACTTGCCACTCCCTCCCCAAACATTTTGGAGGGCAATTGGCCTTGCTGACTGGACTCCGCATGACAGCTTCAACCAGCACGTCCTGTTGGACACCACACCCCTCCCGGATTCGATCCCGAAGGTCAAGGAGATCGGTGCCAGCTCTGCCCCTCTTCTGTCTGCCTCATTTTTTATCGGCGCCCGCTGCAAGGACTACAATGACGACTACATGCAGTGCAAGAACGAAAACCCCGGTCGCGGTGAGTTTGAGTGTTTGAAGGAGGGCCGGAGGGTCACTCGTTGCGCCCGGAGCGTGTATGTGTTCCCCGGAGACTCGATTTCTCTTTTCTTGGACCCGGAGGGTCCTCGGTTCGGGACGGAGAGGCAAACAGCTGGTTGGAGGAGCTTGGTTGTGCTACCGGGGGGCGGGACAAGAGGCTGACGGAATCGCAGTCTGAAGGACATCAACACCCACTGCCTGGAGCAGTTCCGTGCCCATTGGCAGTGCCTCGACAACAACAACCAGCAGCTTTGGCAGTGCCGGCCGGCCGAGTGGAAGCTGAACAAGTGCGTCTACGAGAACCTGGTATGTAGCCTCACGACAGGAACTAGAGGTATTAGGCACAGGTCAGGGACGCAGGCTGACGCGTTTCGGCAGAAACTCGAGAAGGTCATCCCCGACCAGCCCAAGAACTCTACGCCCGTGCACCTACGACAGAGGCAGATCTTCGCCCACCACGCCATCCCGCCGTGGGAAAGACCTTTCATCCCCGGTCAACCTGAGCCCCAGCTGCCGGCAGGCATTGAGATTCCTGAGAAATACAAGAACCAATCGTGAGATAGAACCGTCGCCCAGAATTAGATCAATTCATCCGTCATTTGAGTCTATCCGCCTTTTCCTTTACATATTGGATCTCTGTGGCAAAGTGGTGATGTATCAGGGGCTGTACATACAGGAATGCTAAAGAAGGGTAGACAGGCCCGTCCGGCGATAGAGTGCTATTGCTCATCTGAAGCACCATATCTTGGTGCTATCTGTCTTGCCATTGAAAACGAGCGCATGCTCAACTTCTTCCCAAGGTTCCTCCTTGAGCTTCTCTCTTTCCTCAACCCCCTTACTCCATCAATGACATCATGAAGAATCTCTACATTTGACCAGTTTGGTTAGAGCCACCACAATGCCCTAAGAGCATTGCTCAGCTCAGTTTTAGTGATCTATTGTCAGTTGTGTTTGGTATTTCCTGGTGTCTGAACAGCTGGTAGCCTGACTTGCCAATGTCGTCTACCTCTCTAAACACACCCAACCTATGTTCTTGTTCGTGCCCTTCTAACTGCAGCACAGGCTTTTTGCTCACATCGTGTAGAATTCACAGCCTATATTTAGCAACTGAAGAGCGTGGCCTCCTCGCCTCAACCTACCCCAAGGCATGAAACCTTGGTTTGACTGTGTAGCCATTTACTAACGGCGAAACATGATCAGCTGAAAGACGATAGCCAAAGCTTTGTGTGTGTGACTGACTCCGCAACTGTCTCTGATCTATTGACCGTTAGTTGATACACAACGTTTGAATACGGATTTAGTCTTGAGATTGACTATATCTTTGGGACCAGTGATCGTCGTGACATAAACGTCATGCTCTTAACCTTAACCTTGATCTCGCCTGGCTGATTTTTCAGAACTTGACGGTCGGGGAAGGCACACTACCCACAAGCTTATGGTATATTGGCTGTTGATTAGTGGAATCCACCATTGCTGGTTTATCGACTATATCACTTTAACAACTCAATTGGTTCCCACGGGCTGGATGACCTTACATCAGAGAATCAATAACCACGGACCTACCCAAAATATCACTATGCTGTATCCCCCAACTGCTGAATATCCGTCTCGGGTACTGGCGAGAATCCAGTTTATCTGGGTTCGTGCTTCCTCTCACAAGAGTGACGAACATATTGAGGCACGTGTTTAGCAGAATGTGCTTACACAAAACGCTTGGATCATTCCGGCCTTCCCTTAACGGCAGTTCATTCAGAGCCGTTGCGGTTTCGTACGCTAATAAGAGACGAGATACGTTTGAGCTCAAGTCTTGAATGTTTACCGATGGCGTGTTACTGTGGCACAGCATGGCAACAGGCTCGGTATTTTAAAATTCGGACTGAACTTGAGCACCGCTACAAACCTGCTTTGTGAGTACGTGCATAATGGTTATGAAGACATCTTCACCACTTTCTACTCCTCGCATCTGCCAGACAATAACTTCATATCATCAAAACCCTGAGGTCTCGAACCTACAACCCATGCTCCCTATATCCAGATGTTCGGGAAAATGAGACATGCTGGCCCATCCCCAGACCATCACGATCAAGATCACACAGTTTGATAAACGGCCGCGGCCAGGCCGGCCGGGTCAACAGGAATAAGGTAACAGGCTATGAGAAATGAAGGCTTGTGGGGTTTACTTCTAGGCGCCATGTAGGCAAGGAAAGCTCATTATAACTAAGGCGTATGCGGCGGTGACACTATTTCAAAATGGTAAGCTATTTTGCAAAGGGGCGCTGGACTTAAGCCCGCTGGTGTCACCCAGATCTCAAACAGCACGACTTTTTATATTGCTGGTTTCCACTTCCCTCGATGATTGGATTGAGTCCGTTGTACGATGTCCACCTGGGGTCCCTATCCCACAATTGACTTCATCCTCCCCCAGTTTTCTTGGCGGCTCATCTGCCTGTTTGATATGATGTTGTCGAGGGTTTGTGGACACCTGTTTTGCCCAGTGTGGATCAGTGCATAAGATCGACTTGATCCGCGATCCAAGCAATGTAAGTCTATCTGCCGCTATTTTCAATGTTGGAAGCATGGAAACAAATAAGTTTCGCGAGTCTACTAGACCAATTAGAGGGTGAATGTGAAAAACATTGGATAGACAGACGTGCAGCTTCCTGGTTAAGGACTTCACCCCATCCGTGCCGCGGGTTGGCGGACCAGGGGGTCATGTTCTCCCCCCCCCCTAAGTTGGCAGAAGTGAGTTGATAGCCTTGTGCGACCTACCCGTACTGGCCGGCATATGCTACTATCTGATAATCGGTGTAAAAACTAAGAGCTACGTTGTCCTGCCGATGGCAGACTAGATCTAGCATTCCAAGAGTTTGGATCACTAAGTAGTGGTAGTGAGCACTAAGTATGATCCATCCCCGTCATGTGCTGCTGAAGCGCCGATGTTATGAAATTGTAGATTATTAGCTATTCCCTGCTAACACCTCAACAGCAGATCGAAGAGCCGCATCAAGTTTATGACCGTAGTGTGATGAAGTCAGTTGACGACGCTATCTGAAGCCCCGGCTAATTGCGTGCCGCTCAACAGGTTCACCGTTCGACAGCAACATCTCAGAAGTTTGGTTCGTCAGAGGGCTCGGTGACTATTTGTTCACCAACGGAAAAATACCAGACGCCTGCTATCACTGGTCGTCATATGGCACGGTAAATGTTACCGTTGTTAGCATGTAAGGTGGCACTCACTGAAGGATCGAGACCACAAAAACTGGATGATGGTCAAGATGGAGTTCGAATGCCAAGCTCTAATGCTGGTGGGGGAGCAAGTTGACATCGGACCCACTGCATTTAGTGCGTTTCAGAAGAACGTGCTCGTTTCCCATTGGCCGATCATTGGAAGAAGAACAGCGACACCGGGGTGCGAAACGTATTTGGTATCACGACAACAATACAGCGCCGATGAGAACAGCACGCATTGCACCAAGAATAAGAGGACGTTAGGTAGCAAAAATATAACCGAAAATGGAATCATGGAATCTTGGAACTCGGAAAGTTGTTTGGAGTGGCGATCAAGCAAATCTGGATGCAAATCGCCCTGCACCGTTTCGATCTCCCTAACACTTCGGGTGTAGTTAGCAAAAAATTCGGAGTAACTCTAGAAGCTGGCGCCGTTGAACTTGGTTCCGGAACGCCGCCAAGAAACCAGCCGAATCTGCAAGGAACATGACCTTGATTGGATGAACCGACATCCCACAGTCCTGCAACTAACAAGGGGTTTCTCTGCAGGGGCAGTGGGGGAAAGATTGCGGCACCTGAAAGGGCATCTAATCAAGGGCATCAACGCGGCAAGTGAAGCGAACAAGCAAACGGGGAGGACAGCCGGGAGGTGGCAGAGAAAGCTCAGAAGAAACCAAGGTGCTGCTCTTTTTTTTTTCCTTTCCTGTGTCCCCGCGCGGCAATTGAATCTCGACTGACACCAGCTGGACCAGGCTTGCCAGAAAGGCCTGGACTCTTGCTACTAGAGGAGCGACTGGCAGAGAACCGATTTTGTAGCGACATTCGGCGATTCAACATTGTACAACGCCGCCATTCATGTGGTCTAAGACAACTGGCCGTCTGGGGAAGCCCGAAAGCAATGGTGTCGACTGTGGTTTGGCAGCAGAAGACATTGGCATACATAATGCGCGGGTTCATCTGGAATATTTGCCTCATTGTTATGTGCTGGCACTCGGGTCTGCCCTGCAGGTCATCGTCAGTCTTCCCATCCATCCAACTTGACCTGAATCCTTGGCTCCATTCGGGCCAACAGAAGGTTCCAGCGCCTGCTTGCTTGCTGTTTGCAGCAGGTGAAGAAAACCTCAGTGTGTGATGGGCTGACGCCAGCTTGGCCAGCCCTTGCTAACGTTAATTTTATGCCCCGCATTCCTCACCTTTGAGCCAAAATTGAAGGGGCACAGCGACCGGGACCAGCGCGCTGGATCCAGGGGCCCCTTCACCGTCAGGAAGTCTGGGCTGTGCTGGGCGGACGCTGGCCCCCCGGCCCTGGGGTCTCCGTGGATCAGATTGCGCGCCCCACTGCCCGCCCGCAAGGCCGGCCAGCGGCCAGCTAAAGAACACCAGCACTGCCTTCCCATCATTGCCTGCTTTCCTTTTCACCCTCTTCTTCATCAGCACACGACCGCTGAGCTTGGCCTTGCTGCTGTGAAGTCTCGCTCACACTCCTTCTCTTTTCACGCTCATTTTGTTGAAGATTTTATCTTCAGTCCATTCCTTTTCAGTATCACTTACGAATCGCCTCGTCATTGGCGCCCCTAGCAAACAACAACCCTAACCTTCTTTCGAACATCACCTTTATCGGGCCCTTTGATCGCAATTCTTTTACGCATTTTCACTCCTTTGTTTACCACCAAGCTCGCACCGCTTTGGCAGTTAAGTTCTCGACGGCCGTGCTGCCAACCTGTGATTCTTTGAGCGACTCCAGACTTGTGGTAGAAGCGTCTTGTGTCCCCTCGATTTGTCAATCCTATTGCACAGGCGCATTCTCATCCTCGACAACTGGTCTCTGAGAGACGGCTTAACCTTGGCTCGACTTTGACGCACTTGGGCTTAAGATCCACTTTCATCCTTGACGGATCCTTTGCGACAGCAGTGCTGCCCTTTCCAGCTGGCTCGGAACCTATTTTTCTGCCTTCTCTTTAAAGTGCCAAAGTTTTGCAGCATCTCATATCTGCTCCTGGAATCAAGGTGGGTATTTGATTTTGTTCTTGGGATTTCATTTTGGTTGCGCGGCGGCACAACGACAATAGACTTGGTTGACCAGGCGACGGGCTGTCGACAATGGCACAAATGCCCTCATGACTTGACAATAAGTCACGGGGTAGTAATTGGGTGCAACTTCCCTGAATGAAATGAAAAGTCATATCTCTTATACACTGGAATTTCTTAACCCATCTAAAAGATTTGACAACTTTTCATACTGTTTACACAGTTACATCTGAGCAATGGACCACCAACTAACACACCTGCAGGACTAGAGCAACCTACCACAATGAAATACTCTGCGTTTCTGGCCGCTTGCGGTGCCGTTCTGGCCGCTTCTAGCCCCATCCTTCAGGAGCGCCGCTATGTTTACACGACTACGACTGTAGTTGAATGGGTTACAGTCACGGTGACCGAGGGTGATGCTTCGGAGCCTACTTTGTTCTTCCATCGCCCGCACAACCGTCCCAAGCCGAAGACCACCAAGCTTCCGGCTCCTCCTGCTAGCACCTCGAGGGTTCCGTTGCCTCCTGCGTCGTCTTCGTCTTCGGTCGTTATCCCTGTCCCTGAGGTCCCTCCTACCACGCAGCAGTTAACCCCTACTCCTACTCCTACTCCCACTCCGGAGCCTGAACCTGAGCCCGAACCGGAACCGGCGCCCGTGATCGAGGAGCCCGTCATTGAGGTGCCCCAGGACACGTCGACCCTTGTGCCTGCTCCGGCTCCTAGCACGACTAAGCAGGTGTCGCAGCCTACTAGCGCGGAATACAAGGAGACTGCGCTCTATCACCACAACGTCCATCGCTTCAACCACTCTGCTGCTGCTCTCGAGTGGGACGATACCCTTGCTAGTTATGCTGAGACCCTGGCCAAGCGCTGCAAGTTCGGCCACGATGTGTACGTATCCCATCCCGTAAGTATCAGTTGCAACTGGGTACTGACTGGACTCGAGCACCATTGGTGGCGGCGGTTACGGCCAGAACCTGGCCATGTGGGCTGCGTCCAATAACATCCGGAACGTGCCCCCAGCCGACTCGATTGCCAAGGCGGCCAGCGACGGCTGGTACAACAACGAGCTCAAACTGTACCCCGGCTACGGCGTTGCAAGCCCGGACATGTCGCGCTTCAGTGACTGGGGCCACTTCTCGCAGCTCGTCTGGGTCGAGACTACCAAGCTCGGTTGCGCCACCGTCTACTGCGAGGCTGGCACAATCTCGAGCATGCCGTCGTGGAACACGGTTTGCAACTACTATCCTCCAGGTATATCTTTCATCGCTTCTTCGTGAGCTTGGATTCGGATAACTAACAGCTTTGCAGGCAACGTCGCTGGCCAGTATGCCAAGAACGTCAAGCCCCCTCTTGGCCATGCCGTGGTCCGGGCCAACTAAATAGCAACTGGCAGGAGGGAAGAAGTAAGCCTCTCGATCTGATGAGGATCGGGAGGAATGGCGGCATGCTACTGGGTCATCATCTGCTCAGCTAGCTACCTTGTGTTTCCTCGCTTCATGTAGTGTATAGATAACCTGTACACAAACCTCGATTCTACATCTTTTCCACGCATTTGGGGACCGTATTCCGTGCTGGCGACATTTCTTCGACTTTGGGGCTTCTTCATCTTCATCTCTAGGGACCATGAGGCGATTTCGACTCAGTTTTAACCGGCCGATGTTTTTACTCTTATCTTTATCGGACCGGCAAGATGGTTATCCATTCTTGATGATGACATGACATTGGGATTTTTTAGAAAGAAATTCTATGAAATGGGGTTTTGGCATTTGGGTGTTGTCTTCACTTCGTCTTGGCCGGACCCTGCGTGGGTTATCTGGACCAGTTTCATTTTTTCTCTTCTGAAACAATGACATTTTTTCCGACTCTTTCTTCAGGAGTTAAAACATTCGTGAGGGAACTGGCGTACATAAGTATACCCGGCAATGCAAACAATGGACAATGGAAACCATGATGAAAAGTGCCATCAAAACGTGCCTTGAATCCAACACTTCAAGTGTTTAGCTGTTCGACGTCTCGTCGAAGCTCTTAGCTTTCGTCTTGTATCCTTCAAGAGCACTAATATTGTGTGATTGAGATCATCCGTGAGCGAGCCGGTATTGTCAACATTTTTTTCTGCGTTTGAGCTTGAGATGAAAGCATGTCCTATCTTTTATCAGTGATCGGAGTCGATGTGATCAGCACTTTGTTTCAAACAATGACCTGGCAATCATCGTCGTCAGATTCCAGCCCCAAGTCGCATTGCCATTACTAGTACCGTACGTAAAAATGCAACCAGCCCACACTGTGCCATCCAGCCAATCAAGGGTATCGATGACAGTCAAAAACGTCAATCAAGGCGGACCCGGCAGCACGGCAACGACGTCAGACCCTCAGACCCGAAGAGGTGGGGTAACTCTGCTGCCGTACCTGATGGATGCAGTGTGGATGCAGTGGATGCGCAAGTCAGCTCGCCCACCAATGTCCATCCTTCCAAGCCCCAATGCTCCGCGACCAGGCGGCCAGGCCGTCAGGCTCCAGCATTGGCACTGGGCGATGGCCAGTGTCCCAAGGTTCCAAGCACCGGCAGGCATCAGGACAATAGGGGTGGGGTTTTATGGACTGGACGATCAGCTTCCCATCGCATCCAGGACTTCATCCAGAAGCCGGAAGCGCCTTCTATCGGGATCACCCGCCCCTCTCAGCATATTTGGCATCCGACCGCATCGCCGACGGGCTCACAGAGTTACAGTATTTGCGACCGGGACAGCCTTTCGACGGTATAAACGGAACACAGCCGATCATCTCGTGAAACCTCGCATCTCCTGTCCACCAACGACATCCTACCCCACCAGTCCCAACGTCAACATCCCACGCCGCAAACCACGCGTGATAATCCCCCGAAAAACCAACTCCTCAACAACCCAGTGACCCGTCAAAATGCTCAAGGGTCGGTTTGAACAACATCAAAGTGCCGAGCACTCGAGCCAGCCTGTGCAGCCCCCGGCCGAGGAGACCCCGCAGAACACGCTGCCGCCGCTGCGCAACCGCGCCGGCGAGAGCGATAGTCCCTATGTCAGAAGGCATGCAGACACCCCTGTAGCCTGGCAGCTGCTCGATGAGGCGACCATCGAGCGCGCGAAGGAAGAGAACAAGCCTATCTTTATGCATATCGGCTTCCTGGCCGATCACTGTTAGTGTCTCCGAGGCCCATTGTCTTCGTAGCTCGCTCGCTGACATATCCCAGTCTGCCACCTCACAACCCAAGACTCTTTCTCCAACCCTGCCGTCGCCGAGTTCCTCAACCAATCCTTCATCCCCATCCTGATTGACCGCGAGGAGCGCCCCGACCTGGACACCATCTTCCAAAACTACAGCGAAGCCGTCAATGCCACGGGCGGTTGGCCTCTCAACCTCTTCCTCACCCCGGACCTGTATCCCATCTTCGGTGGTACGTACTGGCCCGGCCCAGGCACCGAGCACAGCACGCTGGGAAGCGACCGCGCCAGCGAGAGCGCGATTGCCGGCGAGCCGGGCGAGGACTCGTACGGCGATTTCTTGGCTATTGCGAAGAAGATCCATGGGTTCTGGGTCACGCAGGAGGAGCGATGCCGTAGGGAAGCATTCGAGATGCTCCACAAGCTCCAGGACTTTGCACAGGAGGGGACGTTCAGCACACCCGTGGGGTCTGGGTCGGCTGCGTCGGCTGCCGCTGATAATAGCGACCTAGACCTGGATCAGCTTGATGAGGCGTTGACGAGGATAGCCAAGATGTTCGATCCGGTGTATCATGGGTTTGGCACGCCCAAGTTCCCTAACCCTGCGCGCTTGTCGTTCTTGCTGCGGTTGGCTAAGTTCCCGACTGAAGTTTCGGACGTGATTGGCGAGAGGGAGGTCGAGAATGGTACTGCTATGGCACTCAAGACGCTTCGGCGGATTCGCGATGGAGGTCTGCACGATCATCTTGGTGCCGGATTCATGCGGTTCAGTGTTACTAAGAATTGGGGGCTGCCTCACTTTGAGAAGATGGTCTGCGAGAATGCCCTGCTGCTGGGGGTATTCCTTGACGCATGGCTGGGCTACACCGCTGGCCCGAAGGGCCCGTCCCTGCAGGACGAGTTTGCGGATGTGGTGGTTGAGGTCGCTGATTACCTCACCGGCCCTATCATCCGTACTCCGCAGGGAGGGTTCGTCACATCCGAAGCAGCAGACTCATACTACCGTCGTGGTGACAAGCACATGCGCGAAGGGGCTTACTACCTGTGGACTCGCAGGGAGTTTGACCAGGTAGTCGGCGGTTCAGGCACTTCTAGCGATGACCATGCGTTGGCGGTCGCTGCGGCGTACTGGAACGTTCTGGAAGACGGGAACGTGCCGCAGGAGAATGACCCGTTTGACGAATTCATCAATCAGAATGTTCTCTGCGTCAACAGGGACGTAGTAGAGCTATCGAGACAGTTTGGCATGCCACAAGCGGAGATCAGGAGGGTTGTAGATGATGCACGGGCGAAGTTACGGGCGCATCGGGAGAAGGAGCGTGTCAGGCCGGAGAGAGATGAAAAAGTTGTTGTTTCCACGAATGGCATGGTCATTTCGGCTCTGGCCAGGACAGCTGCTGCGCTTAAGGGGGTTGATGACGAGCGCGCGGCGAGATATCTTAAGGCGGCTGAGCAGGCGGCGTCGTTTATTAAAGAGAAACTCTGGGATGAGAAGCAGACCGCAGGGAATCCGTTGAGGAGGTTCTGGTATCAGCGGCCGAGTGATACGAAGGCGTTTGCGGATGATTATGCCTTCTTGATCGAGGGTCTGCTGGATCTCTACACCACAACGCTCGATAAGAAGTGGGCTGACTGGGCTAAGCAATTACAAGGTGAGTCCATCCCTAAATCCCAGCCGCTGAATTACATCAAGCTAACCTTCGAATCGTAGATGCCCAAATCCGCCTCTTCTACGATCCAATCGTCCCCGCAACCACCGGTGCCCAGCCCTCCCCTCGCCAGGCCTACTCCGGCGGCTTCTACTCCAACGAACTCGCCGCCATCTCCCCAACCATCCTGCGCCTCAAGTCCGGTATGGACAAGTCTCAGCCCTCGACCAATGCCGTCGCCGCCGCCAACCTGTTCCGTTTGGGTGCACTGTTCGCCTCGAAAGAGTATACCTCGCTCGCGCGAGAAACGGTCAATGCATTCGAGGCTGAGGTCCTGCAGTACCCGTGGCTGTTTGTCGGATTGTTGGCGAGCGTTGTGAGTATGCGCTTGGGGGTTAGGGTGGTTAAGGTTAAGGGGAAGGAGGATGAGGCCAAGTTGAGGAGAGTTTGGAGGGCACCGAGGGCCGAGGCGTGTGTGGTTGTTGTTCAGGGGGTGGATGGGGAGGAGTTGGCTGGGAAGGTGGAGGGGTTGAGGATTGAGTGAACCCGGTTAGGGTTAGGGTTTCATAAATTATAGAGTTCAGGAGTTAAAGAGCTGAGGGGTGAGGTTGGATGTTCTTGAATTGATCAATGACGAAAGTGTTGGAATGGTTACAGCCAATAGATACCAGCAAGTTTGCTTTTGTTAGATGCATTGCGGAAGTGGGAGGTTATCGAAAGGCCATGACTTTTCGCATGCAACAGAAGGGCTTTATGGAATACAAAAGATGGATGGGACTCAGGGGTTTGTAAGTGTCGACATCGCTGATGTTGAATGGGAAGAGCTGGATAGATGAATTCAAAATCTGAAGTGGGTTGGTTTTCCACAGCCGTTGATTACAGTATCCACAGCTCCTTGTCCTTATCTTGCAGCCATGCCCAATGTTCCTTTAACTTTCTTGAACCTATGATGCTTGTGAACTTCAAATACTCTAAAAGCTTTCCCATCCCATGTCCTCACAGAAAGTTTAGCCACCGGCTTGGGTTGTGGGGTAAGCACATAACCACTGCATGGTCATGCGTGGCATCCCTCCATTCAGTTGTTGACTGTTGAGCTTGTTGGTCGGCGGCTCGGTGATACCCAAAGCGAGCTGTGTGGTTGTCTGCAAAAGTGGGTGTTTGACCATTCAAGGCCCTATGCCGCCCCATCTCTCGAGCTTTTGAACTGCTAGACGATCCGGACAAGATACTTTTCCAGCTTGTTTTCGCCTAGAAGGCGTTTCAGTAATCTCTTCGGTCTTTCCCCTGGAACTATTGTTGCTTGATGGACATCAGCTTGACCATCGAAAGGTAAGTGAATAGTAACGATGCCAATGCAGGCCACATCGTCTGGTTCCCACTCGAGACGATGCACGACTAGCAAGTACATGATAACATCAGGATCCATGTTTATAGGATATGGATCGAGCATGGGGATCATATAGAAAGCCTTGTCAACCCAGATGAAGCCTCTCAAATCAGGCCACCAGCCCCAGTTCTTGACTGTGCATGAGATTCCGTGCTCATGTCAGAACTCTTGAAGCCGAATGCCATGTCGTAGACGCCAGGCGCCATTTTCCTGTATACAGCTAGATTGTATGAGACAACACTCGAGCATGATCTGGCCATTCAGGACTAGCCCAGAGGGTAACGGTCCAGCTGGGGTGCGACAGGCTTCTAGTACACGAGCAAAGTTATGCTCGGGAGTGTAGAAGTGAAAGTGATTTGGAAAAGACAGCAAGAAGGTTAATCGGCTGTTCCTAAAAACAAATGTATCGGCAGATGCCCAGGACCAAGTCGGAGCGATGTACAAGAGCAAAGCTTGAAAAGAGGTGGTTGGTTTTGAGGATTTCTAGACTTTCAGATATTGGTGTTTGTATCCGTGACCAGCACATATCCAGAAGGAAAGTCTCTTCCCACAACCAAACCAGATATTTCCGTTTCGTATGGCGTTGCATGACCTCTGCCAATACTGCAGTGGCCGAGAGCTTGTCAGTCCTATAGGAGAGTCCAAACGTCGGGTATTTCCAAGCCACTGTACACCAAACAGCGGTCAACTTAGAGCTAATCATTGCACTGTCACAAACTGAATGTTTCCTTGGTCTGGGGTCGTTCTGATCATCTGATAAAAGGTGGCCTTGCTTCTTCCAGTCAATTTGCCCTTGAACGTAATGCCACCTCCATATTCACAGTCACGTTCTTCAAAGCAGACCCATATAATTTCATCTTAGCAGAAGTGCAATGCACGAGGGCGAGCATCCTTTTTGAAAGCACCATGTACGACCGAATGTGCCCATGATTTTGCTCTTTAAAGAATTTCGGGGACTCTCATGCCATCACAGGCCCCATACATATGCCTGGGTTAACGTGGCTGAAAAGGCTGTCAAACAGCGAGTTTGCCGACGCTGCTGCAACTGTTAACTATGAATTTTGGTACATGTCTGCCATTTTAGCGGACTTGCACTTCCAACAGCATTGTCCTTATCGTCTTCTAGAATGCAAAGTACGTCAATCTAGATATAGCGGATATGAAACGCCCGGTCAATGCTGATTACATCCTGAAGAATCTGCAGTAGCTCATCGAAGTATACTCCTTTCTTACGGTTTTTCAGGGTGGTTCGATTGGTCTTTATGAACTCGTCTTTACCCCAACAATATAAAAGGCACAGATATCATCCTGTTTCTCCTCGTGCTGATTCGTGGAGATGGACCATGGTTGAAGTCCCTTCGGCCCCAAAGTCCAATATCCTAGCAGGGAGAGGAATCAAGTCAATGAGTGCATACGCACTGCAACTCTTATGTTCCCAAGAGCATTTTGCGAGCCATGTTCTTATCATGGTCAAGGCATCCTCAGACGTAGTGGACACAGTTGATGATAATTTATCATGAAGATTTTAAGGTTAGGTATCCATGTTGATGTACAAAATGTCCCCATGTCAGCATTTGATCTCGACATGAACCTCTACACCAGGGTTGGATAAAACCTTGACTGACCTTCAATCCCATGTAATTAGTATTTGGAATCGCCTTCTAAAGTTGGCGGAGACAAATACCAACATTATACATTGATAGACAGTTTTGAACTCCTTTTTCCAGATCAAGTTCCTTGTTACATGACCCCTGATTCCCCAGTGCCGTAATACCTTCATAATTCCGCACCTTCACAGTCGGGAGACATCCCCTTATTTTCTAAAACCTCTGCACATGAACATGAGGAGTAGTTAATCTTGTTCATTTGCCTTCACGTCCTGCCAACCATCACAAAGGATAGACAGGCCAGATTCTCAAGGTGTGGTCACGCTTGATGTATTGTATCGGTAACATGTGATCCACTGCCACAAGACCCTAAACCAGAGTCAATGTATACTTCATTGGTCATAGTGTTTGCAGCTCACCTGTGACTTTTACTCAGATGACATCCATTGTGTGTTTGTTTACTATAGCGAAAGAGAATCCCTGGAACTTTGAGTTGCAATGGTGCAAAACTGGCCAATAAAGGCAACAAATGTATACTAGACCTTACGAGGTTTCGTCGGCCATCCGGCAACAGCAAAATATTAAGTAGGCTATAGTCGATTACAACTCCCTTACAAAAAATTGCTCCAAGTCTGTGATAACCCAGACAGCATACCACATGTCTGGCTTCATCCAGATGAATGGGATAAAAGTGCACTCTAACTTCATGAAAGCGTTATGGACTGGCACAGCGATCGAGGGACCCCTGAGGGTGTAAGATTTCTTAAGAACACAGGTATATGTTTGGTCACGGTCCCTTCCCAGAAAGTTTGGGTGCTCAACAGGGGAATGAGAAAGCAATATGTCGTCCCACGCGAAGGAATCATCAACAGATACCCAAAACCAGGTCGGAATTCAGTCTTCGATGCCACCATTGTCTCGATCAGACGTCGAAGTGCTTCATCTCCGAGACCAACACAAATCGACGACTAGAAAATAGTCATCCATGGCCTTCCAGATACGATTTCTAGGTATGGCATTGCATTTGTTCAACTAATCCGAGAGTAACTGGCAGTTTGTCCGCGGAGCAAGAGAGCCGCAACGGAACATCCTCGTACACTGCATTGTATCAGGCGTTGCAAAGGTTAATTTCGTGATGCGAGCCAGAGCATGGCGAGCGTGGGTAGGGAGAAGCGAGAAATAAGAGGGTAATATAAGCTCAAGGTAATTAGCTATAGCGGTTAGTCAAACTAGACAATATTTAGAAGGGACTCGCGGAAAATGAGATGGAGTCTCGGAAGTTAGCTAACTCTGGGTACTTGGGTACTGGGCAGCGATGCATTAAAAACATACAACTTTTAAGGCTTAGATCCTCCCGGCCTCTCTTGGGAGATGATCAAGCTAACCATTTATTAATGGTTAAGGGGGTTTGATCGAGGCAAGCTGCCATGGCGTCCAAGGCGATCCAAGTCAAGGGTAGTCGTAAATCGAGATAAAAGGAGTGTCCAGGATCCAATAATACCACCAAGAGACCAATCCTGCTCACTAACTGGGACTCCTCCCAGGGTGGGCTGGCACTAGTTGACAGCAGGAAGCAATGGGACGAATGGGGATGCAGCCGTTACCGCATTTGAGAAAGAAAGTGGTATTATTATAGTACTGAAAGCGCTGGTATAGGAAGTATTGGGCAAAAAGAGGTACCTACACTCCTTACTTGGCCGCGGCACCGCGCCTGTTCATCAGCCCATGGAAGAAGGCCTGCAAGTTCTCCGTGTCCATGTGCGGTGTCGCCTCCACGGTGCTCTCTGTCGGGCTATCTGGTTCTGATGGCGAACCATACGCTTGCCGCTCCTTTAGGGTCATGTCAGTTTATGTGTCAGAACACTCGGTCCGGGAAGACATACCTTCAGCCTCTGCACCATATCATCCGCATCAACCTGAATTCCGCCCATATTGAACTGTACCGGCCCAATATGCTCCAAGACCTTCCCTTCTACGGTCGGCCGACGCCCGGTATCATCACCGATGCCGCCGACGAGATGCCGATCATCGTCAACCTTCTTATGGGCCTTGCGCCGGGCCGACTCGCGCGACGATTCTTCCTCCTTCTGCCGCAGGGCCTCCAAGACCTTGAGCTGCTGCGCCAGGAAGGCTTGCGTGTCGATCGTCTCGACCTCAAGATGCGTCGAATGCGTGTTGCGCCCGGCTAGTTGCAGCGCGTCCATAGTTGGGTCTTGAACGGCTTCCTCGTAAAGGACGACGGTTGAGCCTTCGGGATCGGGCAGGGCCTCCTCAACAAGGGTACTCCCGTCCTCACCGTTAATTTGCCCGTCTTCGCCATTGGCAGCAGTGCCATTAATAGAACGGATGAGTGGGTATGGTTGGTCGAGATCAACCGACCAACCATTGCTCACGCGCTCGACGTCGAAGCCTTCCCTAAGCACACGAATCTTGCCCCAGGAGTCCCAGTTCGGGGGAACCACAATCTTATCCCTCTCAATAACATTGTGTTTGAGTGGTTGCTTCTTGAGGAGTGAATGTATCCCTAGGCTGGAATGGATAAGGCTAGGAAGTTGTGAGGGCACGGAAGGGGTTGTGTAAATCAATGAAGCGCCGTCTGTAATATGTCCCGAATTAGCCTACGGCTCTCAGCCACCGGAGCGGCAACAGAACTCACGCTTCAAAAGCACTGTCCGCATAAACTGTAGGACAACATCAAACTCTTCTTCCTTCCAACCTTGTGTCTTCTCTAAATACTCCATCTTCTCGGCCTGTGATGCACAGTCAGCAATCCCGCCAGCAGCAGCATAAATCTTGAGCGAGCCTTACGTTCTGGCAGACAACACACAGCGGCAACCCCAAGCCATCCTCCCATTCACCAGGTCCCAATGGCAGGGCAGGCTCGGCATCTGCTGTGGGAGCAGTCATGCTGCCATCGAGATTGATACCCCCCCCACGGCCCCGATCCCTCCATGAAAGCATCACCTCCTCCATAGTCGCCTTGCACTCGTGCGATAATGACACCAAGACCGTCCGCAACAGCAGGATCCATTCCCGCAACTGGCGCATCCACTTCCATGGCTGCGACCAATCCAGCAGAATCACGATCAGAGTATTAGGTATTGAGTCGGGAGTAAGGATCGGCTGGAGGAGTGATGCAAAGGCGGGCGAGGGATCTGTGAGAGTGTAAATGGAGATGCGCGCCAATGTGTCTTCATGATCGGCATCTAGCACGTCGTAGTAGGTATAGCCTAGAGCGAAGCTGTTCGCGACGGGAGGGGAACGTGAGCTGCTTCGGTCGAGGGTGCGGCGATCGTTGCTGGAGAGAGCCTCGAAGAACTCGCGCTGTGAATCAACAGTACCGCCCAGCAGAATGATGTTCTTTTCCGGCAGCCGGCGCCCGCTGGCGACGGAGGAGAGCATTGAATTCCATAGGTCCTTCTTCTCTCCCTTGTCACCATTCTTGGAGTCCGAGGCGGCCGAGGCGGCCGTGTAGGTCGAGTAGCGGTTTGTGTTTGCCGTCATGGCTGCGCCCGCTTCACGGTTGTGCTGCGGGGAAGCGCATTGGCTTGGGAGGAGATGTCTCGGTTCTCGTCTCTCGTCGAAAGCTCAACAGCGAGGGTGTCGTCACTGTCGCTGCTGCTGGACCTGGGCTGCGTCCTGGGCTGTGGCACGGTTCTCTGACGGCTTGCTTCAGCGCTCACTGAAATCGAGTGGATGGTAACAAGTCTGTTGTGCTAGCGACAACTGGAATCACTCCGATTGCTCAGTTCTTGTTGGTCTTTCGAAACCTCGGGCAAACAAAAGACGCGACGTCTTGCTCCAACACGCATCGACCGTGACAAACACTGGATCGTTGATACCAGAGCGGATCGCCAATCATGGATCTGGAGATGCATCAGAACGACAGGGGTTTTCAACCACTCGCTTGCAGGGCATCGCGCAAGGCAAAGGTCTGTATTTCTGCCACGCTTAACCCAAACCCTGAAGTTCCGTACAGGCTGCAGCGAAAATGCACGTTGCCGCAAGGCATGCCCTCCTTGTCATCACGCCGCCATGCAATAAAGAGGAACAGCACGCAGCCCCCCAGGCTCGGCTGACCAATGATCGTCACCTCTGGAAGTTTCTGACCCACAAAGCTTCCTGACTACGCCACCCGCGTGCTCGTACACTAACGACCCTCCACCTCTCAGCGCATCACCCCATCCTGTCATCGCCATCTATTCGCCAGCCTTGCTTTGAGTACTTAAAGCATCAACCACCTGCCGCGCGCTTGGTTTCTCTTCGTCACACGATACATCAACATCTTCGTCGGCATCCTTTATCTGCTGGTCGCCCGAGAAGCTCGCGATCTCCAGAAACCAATCGAAGCAACAAGTAACAACGCGCAACCATGGCGAGCACCGCAAAGTATACCCCCGCGCCCACTGAGGACCCCGACGTCCACCACCTGTACACACAGCCTCCGCCGTCCTACCAGGCCTCGACTTCGTACCCGGCCACCAGCAGCTCTGCTCAGGACGACATCCATCTCTATGGCGCCCCACGTAGTAGCCTGGACAACCTGCCGGATGACTTCAAGGTACGCTGGTTCCAGCCCTTCTCTTACATCGTCCATCAAATAGCTTCCAGAACAGCAGCTGACGTCAACCTCCTCAGTACGGCTCTTGCGTCGCCGACGCGACCATCGAAATCCGGACTCAGTTCGTCCGCAAAGTCTACACCATCCTCACGACCCAGCTAGTCACCACCGGCGCGATCAGCGCTCTCAGCTTCGCTAGCGAGGGCTACAAGGGCTGGATCCAGAGCCATCCTGGCATGCTCTACTTCTCTGTATGTCCCTCTCACAAAAGACACGAAGGAGCCCATCATTTAAGAGCACCCAAACTAACGCTCCCTAGATGTTCGGCGCCATCGGCATGCTCCTCGTCACCTTCTGGAAGCGCCACTCCTATCCAACAAACCTCATCTTCCTCTCTATCTTCACCATCATGGAAGCCTACGGTATCAGCGTTGTCGTCTCCTACTACGACACCGCGGTCGTGCTGAACGCCGTCCTCCTGACCGCAGGCATTTTCATCGGTCTAACCCTCTTCGCCTGCCAAACCAAGTACGACTTCACCTCGTGGATGCCCTACCTGTTCTTCGCCCTCTGGGGGTTGATTCTCGTTAGCCTATCGGCCGCCATCCTTCCTTACTCGAGTGGCTTCGACCTGTTCCTGGCGATCATGACGGCGGTGCTGTTCACGGCCTATATCGTCGTTGATACGCAGCTCGTTATGCGCCACCTCCATGTCGAGGAGGAGATTGCTGCTGCGATTAACCTGTATCTGGACATCCTTAACCTCTTCCTGGCCATCCTGCGTATCCTAAACAACCGTGATGACTAAGTGAGGAGGATGGGTTCTGTGGGAGGAGCAAAGGGAAGACAGGTTGATGTGTAATGCTTGAGGGATGATGGATGCAGTGGGCATATGGGCGTTTTGGGTTTCAATTTGGGTTTGTTTTCATGGATACCTGGTCTCCATCGTTCTTTTCCCTTTTTTTTTGTTTTTAATGTCCTACTCAGGATTCCAGGCCACAAAGAGCCGATCTCGAAACTTAGTGTCTCCTTATACCTACTGTGATTATTCAAATTCTTACGGACCGCATGTGAGGAATCTGAGGTGTAATGTTATGAGAAAAGTCCCATTCTTAGCCCAATAGTGTTTTTTTTATCTTATTGCTAATATTATCAATTCTTAAGCAATGGGGAATCGTTTCATTAGTGTACGGCTCATACCCATAGCGTTTCAAGACGAGCTTCACCGCAATACAATTTCGAGGCAAGCATTAAAACAAGAGCCTTGGGAAAGGGGTAATTTGTGATATCTGCATTAGAAGGTCAATAATAGAAGTAAAAAAAAAAAAAGGCAGACAATCAGGTATATGGGGTAACATGACTATTAACCCACGAGCCGGCGCGAGGAGACGAAGACGTGGAATCCGGTAGGCGGCCTGGTCCATGACGAGTCCTCCCATGCCCCATTGCCCTGTTTCGTGGTCTTCCCACCCGGGAGGAGGCTCCGGATGAGAACTCATGCCGCTGAGCCGCTATTGTTTGACGCCAGCCTCGAGAACTCAAGTCAACCATCCCTCTTTAAACCAAAATCCACGACTCCATCGTTATGTCCCAGCTCATGACCGTATTGTCTAGCCACCACCCATCGAAGCCGATCTCTAACCGTCCTCGATCCTCCCATCATCCTTCACCGACACAAATTTTTCCGGAACCAAGAATCTTGCCGGTAAGCGAAAGGGGGTAACAAACAAAGCAGTGGGGGAATATTGTATCTAAACACAACAAAAGAACCAACGCCTGCACAGAAATATCGCGTCGAGCAAAGGGGCCGCATAAAAAGGGTCGAAATCGCTCTCCGACCGACTTGGTATCGCTGCGGCGAAAGAGAAACGTCTGTGATCAAAGGCGAGACAACGTCGCTCTTTACTCGGCGCCGTTAGCTTGGCTCGCCTGGGCTTGCTGCTGGGCAGCCGCTGCCGCAGCAGCCGCCTGGGCCTGGGCTGCCGCCGCCGCCGCCGCAGCGGCTTCACGCTGCATCCGCGCCTCGATCTCACGCAGCTGAGACTCACGAGCCAAAAGCTCCTGGCGCTTCTCGTTAATCTCACGCTGGACCTTAGACTCGATCTCACGAAGCTTCTCCTCCTCGCGGCGGAGCTGCTCCTCTTTGAGGCGGACGGACTGGGTGGCAAGATCTTCAGGATTCATTGACGCGTCACTGGAAACATGTCAGCGGATGCGAGTAAGAAAACTAGAATGTAGACAGGAACATACACTCCAGCACCACCCTCGACACTCTTGCTAAGTTTTTCGGTACGGTAGTTTTCGTAGAGGAAGTCGTGAGTGATCTCCTTCAGATCGGCCAGATGGCTGTGCAGAAGAGCAGAGCGGATGGCGAGGAAGTCAGAGTGGCGAGGGTTTTCAACCTCGACAATACCCCACGGGTACTGGCGAGCACGGACCTTGCGACCACCAATCTCGACGAACTCCTCAGAGCCCACAATGGCGAAGGGCATCAGACCCCGCAGCTCGGCGTTCTCCTCGACGGTGTCCTCGTCGTCCTCCTCGATGTCATAGGGGAAGTTGTAGATGGGGATCCGATAGTGCTCGATATCCTCCATGATCAGCTTCTTGGACTCGGCAAGCTCAGCGGGTGTGAGAGAGTCAGCCCGCCCAATAACAGGGATGACATTGACACGAGGAGCAAGGCGCTTCATCAGCTCAATGTCGAGCTCACGGAGGCTGGGACGTGTCAGTGTCTTGTCGGCACGTCAAAAAGGCGAAGAGAGGGTCAACTTACCCATGGCCGGTGGGAGTGATGAAGTAGAGCAGAGCGTGCACACGATTGTCTCTGAAGCGAGGATTACGCTTGATACGCGACTCCTCAGCAAGGATATCATCGTATTGCCTCTCCAGATAGCCGACGATCTCTGCGAAGCTGCAGGAGAGCTGTTAGCTGCATGCTAGAGTGTAAAATCGATGCGGGATCAATGGGGGTGGGTTTACCAGGCCTCATTGTCGATGTTGTCACCGAAGCCAGGGGTATCGACGACGGTCAGAGAGATGCGAGTGCCCTCTTCCTCAAGCTCTAAATCTGGGCGACGTGCAATTAGGTATCTGCGGCGACGATGCAAAGGTCACATTTGGCCCTGGGTGATGCGTACCGACAGTAACAGGCTTGATCTTGACGCCTTCCTCGAGATGGGCGGTATTCGGGTCGTCACACTCCTTGTGAGGGAGCACGGTCTGGCCGCAGAGGGTGTTGACGAAGGTGGTCCGGCCTGGCGTGACGGGGCGGTGGTTAGCACAAAGGTCGAGATGTCGACGACCGCCATGGACGTGTTGACACGGCAGGCGTCGATGTGCGAGGCAGGACGGGCGCGACTCACCAGTGCCCGAGGCGCCGCACACCATCAGGCAGAACTGGATGCCCTTCTTGACATTCTTCTTCCGGCGGAACATCTTCTGCTGGGTGAACATTTTGGCTGATTAGTGCCGGACGGCGATTGACTTGAACTCCCCAAAAAGATTACGGAGATGCGATTGACTCGAGCGGTGTGCAACGAGGCGGGACGCGGGTGCGAGGAGCGCAATGATGCGTGTGTGTGAGGGCGACGTGGTCGGGATGGCAGGTATCACGAAGTTGGGGAAGACAAGGAAGGGCAGACGTACGGCTGGAGCAGACATGATATTGCAGTGGAGTCCTGTCGCGTCGCTGTGGTTGGTCTGGGCACGGGTAAAACTAGCGCCGACCTCTCTTTACTTTTTGGGAGATCAGCAAATAAACCAACGTTAATTCAACAATTGGCACTCTCCTGACGGCAAACGAGCAGCGAGTCGACTCTGAGCTCTGGAAATTGCTGCTGTGGTCGGAAAGTCGTCGTCCTGAGGAGAACAGAAGGAAATCAAGAGCCACCGTTGCTCAAGCGTACAAAGGGCAGGATCACGACGACCCCCAAAACACCCGACCACAGCACACCCCAGGCTTGCGGAAAGGGGGCACCTGAGGAGCTTGTTCGATTGCCCAGATCGAAGGAGCAGTGACCAGCTGCGCCCACAATTCAGGGGTCGCTCGTTTCCAGGAGCGCCCAGCAACCCCAGTCCGCTTATGGAAAGACGCACCCCACATCCCCGGACCAACCAGCACGAGCCGTCCAAACGACGCCGAGGACGAGTGGTACCAGCTGTCGACAGCTGCAGAACCGTCCAGCCATCGGCAAGCAGCCGGGATGTGGCTTGTGCACTTTTGATCACTTGCCGTTCCGGCTCCCCAGCAACCCGTGGCACTCCAGCCAACAGAAGCCTCCGACGAACGCCTGGCATGGATGGGATGTCCATCGGTTCATCACCATCTCCATTGACAGCAGCCGGTTTTGTGACAGCACATTGCATCCTGTCTTTCCTTTGTTGTGTCGACTCGGCAATTTCGGGGCGCATTGATTTCTTTGTGTTTCGGGGGGTTTTGTTTCCAGTGAATTCAGTTATCCATCGTAGCGACTGAGTCACCAAGTTTGCTTCTGTGACTCGGCGGCTTATCATTATTCTCCTGCCTCAGGTCATCTTGCCTCAACTTTCCCATCACAAAGACAAATTTGTTGAACAGAGGCAACTGCTGCCACCTTCAAACTCAAAACTGAGCTTGAGCTTTTTACCTTTGACGCCGCGGGCGATCTCATCTGTCATCCATGATGATTTCGTAGCGTCCCGTTCCGTCCAGCGAACACTCTACACCTTGCCAACAGTCATATCATCACAGTCTCTGGCTGGAGCCTAGCTCCAGGCTGGGAGAGTCTCCACAACTCAACAGCCTTCAATTATCAAATTCGCCTTTTCTGGGACGTTAACAGGAAGGTCAACACCATGAATACCCGAACCCCTCTCGAGGGGCCCAGCCAGACTGTGGTGCTCTCTATCTCGTTTAACGATGACTGCAGCTGCTTTGCCGTGGGCCTCAACACGGGCTTCTGCAGTAAGTATCTCGTCACACAGCCTGAACCAGTCGGCCGAGTGTGTGTTGAGCGTCTGCTGACTTAGTGCCCTCACAGTCTTCCACTCAGATAACGCTTCACTCCGAATGACTCGGGGTAAGACCGACTAGCTTTTGTTGTTGAGTGGCTCGCGTTAACCATCTCAGACTTCAATGCCGGCATAGGTCTTGTGCAGATGATGGGTAAGGCCAACTTTGTCGGCCTTGTTGGTGGAGGAAGACAGCCCAAGTTCGCTTCGAACAAGGCAAGTTTACTCACCATCATACCCTTCATTACGAGAACTTTGCTCCTAACTTTAGTTGTCCAGCTGGTCCTTTGGGATGACTCTAGGAACAAGGTAGCCCTAGAAATCAGTGCGCTCACGCCAGTCCGCGGGGTTCAGTTGTCTAAGGAACGCGTCGTCGTGGTGCTGCAGAACAGCGTGCGAGTCTACAGATTTGCCAAACCGCCCTCCCTCTTGACGGCGTACGAGACGGCCAACAACCCCTGGGGGTTATGCTGCCTGTCTCCCAGGCGTCTTGCCTTTCCTGGCCGAACGACGGGTCATGTGCAGCTGGTCGAGCTCTCATCAGGCAATGTCAGCATCATACCCGCCCACTCCTCAGCCATCAGAGCGCTGGCGCTGAGTTCTGACGGGGAGCTACTGGCCACTGCGAGTGAAATGGTATATCCCCCTGTGCACCCCCTGAAACCGCTATCCTCCCCAAGACTAACAACTACCAAGGGAACTCTCATCCGCGTCTGGGCCACAAGTAACTGTGCCCGGCTGGCCGAACTCCGCCGCGGCATCGACCCAGCAACCATCTTCTCCCTTGCCTTCAATCCCTCTGCTACCATGCTCGCCTGTACCTCCGACAAGTCCACTCTGCACATTTTCGATGTGCCCAATCCAAACCGTCCCAGCCGTCCCACTCAGCAACCGACTGCCCTAGCCGGTGTCCCCGGCATCCCCTCGGCCGCAAATGGTGCCCCAGAGACTGCTATAAGCACGACTAATGGCAGTAATCGCGGGAAATGGGGCTTCTTGGCCAAGCTACCCATGATGCCGCGTGTGTTCAAGGACGTGTACTCATTTGCCTCAGCTCCTTTTGCGTCGGATGATGGAGCAAGCAGCGAGGGGTCATCGACATCGTCGCGGATGTTGGGCGGGCTGCCAATGTCTGAGAGCACTACGTTAGGAACATCGAGACCGCCGAAGGGAATTATTGGGTGGTTGACAGATGATGTATTGTTGGTTGTTGGGGCTGGAGCCGATCCGAGGTGGGAGAAGTTTGTTGTGGTGGAGGGGCCAGATGGGAGGAGAGGGCTTTTGAGGCAGGGCTGGAAGCGGTATTTGGGAACTCCCTGAGTCCATAATGCCTTTTATGTTTCCTGTTACGTTTGGCAGGTGTTTTACTTAGTTGTGCGTTGGGATCGGAGTTTGCTGGTCTAGGATTCCGGCGTTTCGGGTTGGGTTGGTCGACCTCATATGTGTTCATTCAGTTATGGGTTGGCGCTCAAGATATAACCACCGCGAGGTTCGTCTGGGAAAGCTGTCTTCGTAATAGCTAGATTACATTAGCCTCTGGATCTATTTGATTCACTCTTCCTGATATGTATATGGGTATCTTCAGGATGCACCACACATTCTGGTAGACAGCAAGACCATTAAGGGCCATAGTTTTCTTCCCTTCTGTCAACTTCAGTCTCTGCGCCGTGGCGACCTACTGCGGCTCCTGTCCTTAGGGCGACGAGTGCGATCTTCTAGATCACGATGCCGCCGCTCACTGCGTTCGGGAGAATCAGCGTGCCGCCGCCGTTTGTCACGATCGCGATCACGGCCATCATCCTGGCGGCGGTAGTCCTCCCTGCGGTCACCGTCCCTATCCCTAGCCCTATCCCTCGATCGATCCCTGTCCCGACGGTCATCGCGGTCACGGCGGTCGTCTGGAGTGTCTCTGCGGCGTTTCCGGTCTTTGTCTTCCTCGACCGGAGTATCGTCTCTTGACCGGCGTTTCCTATCAGAATCGCGGTCTTCCCTGTCCCGGTATTTATCTTTTTCCCGATGGCGCTCGCCGTCGTCGTGATCGTCTCGCCTTGACCGATGGGACCGGTGATGTCTATCCCTCGACCGAGATCGGGATTTGGACTTGGACCGTGACTGCGACCTGTGACGGCGCCTCCGGCTGCTCTTCTCTGCTTTTTTCGCTTCCCTGCGCAGTGCCTCTTCGACCTCCTTCTTCTTTTCCTCTATCAAAAACTGCTTCATCGGGTCGTCATCGTCGTGATTCTCGATCAACATCTGCAGCTCCCGCTCTTCCTTGAGCAACGGTCGTCGCCGGCGCTCCTCCTCTTCTTCATCTTCAGACGACTCTTCCGACTCGCTTGGCAGCCCTTTCTCGCGGCGTTCGCGTCGCACCATAGCCTCCCAGCTAACATCGTACTCAGCTGGGTCCTCATCATCCCGCAGCTTATATCGCGCATGGTCGACGCGAATCAAGCGCCCACCAATCTCAGCGCCACTCAGGTTATCCACAGCCAGGTCGGTACTGCGCTGGTCCTCATATTTCAGCCACCCAAACCCCTTCGACTTTCCCGTCTCCTTGTCGCGCGCGAGCTTGAGAAACACCGGCTCGCCGAACTGGCTGAAGATGGTGATGATGTCGCCTTCAGAGAGTTCATAAGGTAAACCGCCAAAGTAGATGAAGGCCGTGTCGCGGTAGTCGGCGTGCCACGAAGCCTCGGGCGGGATGCCCTGCTCGATCTCGCGCTTGTTTAGCGCCTGTATGGCGCGGATCTGGTTCATTTTTGATGCGGTGTGTTCCCAATGGGGTCCGCGGAGTCCGCGACGTCAGGCGGTTATTTGAGAGATGGTATGTGTCGCGACGAGGCAAGCGAATCCCGATGATGGGCTGGTTGATATCTAAGCTTTGAATTGATAAGCTTAGATACGGGTTAGGGTTGGCTGTTGGTCAGAAGAGGTCCAACAGTCCCATAGTCCTTCCTGCAGTTGATTCTTGGGCAAAAAAAAAAAAAAAAAAAGTTTCACGAACTCTCAGCACCGTCACGAAAGCAGAGGGAATGCCACCTGGGACGCATCCATAGACCAGCCTTTCATCCAATCTCATGTCGGTGAGCAACAAACCGTTCCTAGAGCCAAAAACAAGCTCATAATTCACTATGTTGGGGGACTCCATCAGCTTGTGCAAAACTTGGGCCTACGCTTCACAACTTGAACCTTGAGGGTCCCCGCATTAGGACAGGGGAGAGGATTCAAAAGAGGAGGGGGGGGGTCTTGCATCCGCATGCCATAAGTTGGTCGCACTGCCCCAGGTTGGCGATTGTTCCGTCATGCATGTTTCGTAGAGGGTCACAAGGCCATTGTCAAGCTGTTTGTCCATCTCTCGGTTTAACAATGGAAGAAAAGAAGAATGTAAGAGAGCTGTGTCCAAAAGTTCAGACGACACCTGAATGCGGGACCCTTGAGGTGAAGTTGGGACGAGGTCCAACATGCTTCCCAGCTTTTTCCGCAATGCCCCTGGTGAGAAGACGGTCTGTGTCCTGCTGGGCATTGAGAACATGTACCAATCCTCGCTGCAAATCTGACCCCTCTTCTCCCCGCCCAATGACTGGCAGGCACCCCAATGGGGAAGGCAGGGAGAGCCAGGAAGCTGCAGTGCGACGGAGCCCACCGCCTTTGTGCTCCTCGATCTTTCGTAGGCTCGGCGCTCGCAGTACAGCGGGCGGTGGGCAGCGGGCGCAGTGGGGCCAAGAGGGTACGTCTCCAACTCAACGTTTCGCAGTTTTGCTCTTCTTGGCCCTTAAGAGAGTTACTTGTTTTTTTTTTTTTTTTCCTCTGGCGAGCACAAACTGTGCACCCAGCATTGCAGCACCAGGTGCCAACAGGGTGGAGCAAGCCACGCTGCCACAACCCAAGCCTGAAGCCCATTGCTCGGGGTCTGGCCGCCGTCTTGACTCCTTGTGAGCCTGTCAACCCGCTCGCCAAGTCGTTCGTTTTCCTCCGCGGCTCCCGTCCCCATATCCCGTCGCCGTTGTCCACTTCCCAAGACCTTGTCAACCCCCGGCAACCAAGCCAACTTCCTCCGTGTTGGCCACTTTCTCCTCCTCCAGGGTCTCAGCAGTCAACATATCCTCCTTTCCCTTACATTCCTACCCAGCGCTGCTGCTGTGATCCCTCTTTTCCTATCCTTCGTGAAGTTCGTCTTGGGCACCCCGCATCCGTCGAACGCTGAAGCCGAAAGTCTCCTACCTCAAACTGATCCCCAAGCCGGTGTGAGCGCGAGTCGGCTCTTGCGCCCGTCTGCCAACCCGAGACGACGTTAATCTGTCCGCTTCCCATCGGCATCCGGCCGAATCGCAACAAGTCTTAAGTCAAGTTCAATCAATTGGCGCCGAGCCAGTTAACGGAGACGCCGGAGATGACCGCGTCTCCCTCTTCTAGCAAAGCCTCCAACCATGGCAGCGCTGCGACTAGCAAGAAGGCCCCGGCAGTGAAGGGCCCCATTTACAAGCCTGACAGCGGTAATGTAGTCTTGGTTCGCCGGGCCAAGAGGAAAAATGAAGGCCTGATGAAGAGGATGGCCAAATGGCTGGTCGACAATCAGATCAGTATGTGGGATGGAATTGGATCCTAGCTGACGCTCTAGGTTGAGAAGAAATGCTAACTCCGGGTACTTACAGACTTCTCCTTTAACCTCCTCGCCGTCCTGTTCCTTGTCCATGGCTCAGGGCGCGTCCGCGAACACACCGACAAGTACTTCAACCTCTCCTACTACAATCCTCACACTGGGAAGTATGGTATAGGCGTTGACGATGGCTATCCCATACTCTTCTGCATTATCCTCTTTACTCTTTTGCGCGCCGCCACTATGGATTACGTTCTGGCGCCCTTCGCGAGGTCGCAGGGCATCTCCAAGAAGAAGGCGGTCACCAGGTTCAGCGAGCAGGCCTGGCTCATGATCTACTATGGCGTCTTCTGGCCGCTGGGAGTGGTATGTCTTCTCAAGATCGATTGAGCTCTCGCGCAGGCGGCGCAGTCTCACTAACTCTACCCCAGTACATCTACCGTCACTCGCCAGCTTACCTCAATCTACGCGAGCTGTGGACTGGTTGGCCGGACCGCGAGCTCGACGGTATTATGAAGCGCTACATGCTTGCCCAGCTTGCCTTCTGGCTGCAGCAGCTCATTGTTATCAACATTGAGGAGCGCCGGAAGGATCACTGGCAGATGTTTACCCATCACATCGTCACGAGCACTCTTATCTATGCCTCGTACCGCTATGGCCACACCCGTGTGGGCAACCTCATCCTGGTGCTCATGGATGTGGTTGACATTTTCTTGCCGGTATGTCCCCCAAACACCCTCACTGGTTTTCGAGACAGGCTGCTGACCTTATCGCAGGCAGCCAAGTGCCTCAAGTACCTCGGCTACAACAAGCTCTGCGACGTGATGTTCGGCATCTTCATGGTCTCGTGGCTCATCGCGCGCCACATCCTGTACGTGATGGTGTGCTACTCAGTGTGGGCACACACCCCCAAGATCATGCCCACAGGTTGCTTCAAGGGCCCTGCCCACGCACTGGTCGGCCCGCTCGAGCCGCCCGCCAACAAGGGCATCTTCTACCTGTTGGACCCGCTCTGGGACTCCGATGCCTTGGTCTGCTACAACAAGACCGTCAAATGGTCCTTCCTCTCGTTGCTCCTTATCCTCCAGGCCCTGACCATCATGTGGTTCTCGCTCATTATCCGCGTCGCGATCAAGGTCTTGCGCGGTGACGGTGCTGAGGACTCGCGCAGTGATGATGAGGGCGGTGAAGAGGAGGAGGGGAACGAGGACGAGGAGGAGGAGGAGGAGTTTGTCTATGAGGAGGCTCAGCCGCTCGAGGAGGAAGTTGGCGTCGAGGAGATCGACCTCAAGAATTGGGAGCGCAGGACGGGTGCGAAAAAGAGGACCGGCGTTGTCGCGTCCACTACGGCCGTCAGCATCCCCGGTCATAGTGATCGGAAGGAGTTGTTGGGGAGGATTGGTTGCGAAAAACAGGTCACGACTGACTAAATTAACTAGTAAGGAGGAGGGAATCCAGAGGGATGAAAGTTGGTCGTGAGTTCATGGAGCTAAGAAAGGCATTATCTCTTCATCTTTTTTTTTCTTTCTCTTGTTTTTTTTTCGGTATGAGCGAAGGAACGAAGGCTTGTAATGGATTTATGAGGGAAACGGAATGGTTCTTTGTGAAGAGGAAAGGTAATTAAGGTTCTACAGGGAATCCTCACGCGTCGTTCATGAGCCTTGGATGGTGAGCTGCTTTCCTTTGCGCTGATGGTCATTATAGACAAATGGGCATATGAGAAAGAGTCTTGCGTTCTTCCAGGGCTGGAAAAACAATGATAGATATATGAGATGCTAGTGCGTATGAAGCTGACTTGGTGTCTGTGTCTTGTTTTCTTAAAGAAGTTCTTAGTCTCGGGGGTGCGACAGTAGATCTCCGTAATGGGCCATTCCGCCCCCGATGTGTGTTGCCTCTGGGCGGGGAAGCAGGTATCCAAGTGATCATGCCAAGGTGAAAAGCATCGGGGATGCTCAACCTCGGTGGCTGAGTTACGATCGAGTTTTCAATGGAAACATGGTAGTAGTAGGTGGTAGTCGGCTGGGGGAGTTGAACACCGCTGGAACTGTGCTTTGCATGCAAGCATAGGACGACCATGAAGTCAAAATGCCCTACGTAGAAAGACTTAGTATGACCCGGGTGTTCCATTAGGCCACGCGGAGTAGCATCGATGCCTCTCATGTTGGGAGTTCAGGTATCTCTTCAAGAAAATCTTCCGAGTTCTTGGCCGACCGTGTTTCACCTTGACCCGAATCTTCCCCATCGCTATAAAGAAGGTGTCCGAAACACTGGTGAGAAGGTGAAGCCGTTTCAATCGTGAAGAAGCCGTTCGGAAAGTTTACGCTATCAGATCACGTCTAGACTTCTGGAAGATCTTTTCCGTTTGGTGATTTTCACAAGGATGTTGAGCCTCATCGCCAGTGGCTTGCGTCATGGACTAGATCTATCTCATCTACAACCTCACCGCAAAGAATGCATACCATAAAACATGTTCCATAGTATATAGGTATACTTCATACCTCATAAATTCTCCGCGAATTTTTTTTTTTTCGCTGTCTCGTTCGGAACAAGCCTACCTTCTCGACTTTCCCAACCCGGCATTTAATATAGTCCTTGACTACGGAGCGTAACACTCGGCCCCGGATTATGGTACGCCACCACGGCAAAGTAAAGTGTATAATAAAGGAGCGTCGGTACATTTTTCCGCCAATGCTATGCAATTGTGTGCCCAGTACACTGCTGCCGGCGGAGTAATGGCACAGTCCCGGAGAGTCAAGCGCCGTGTAGCCGGGACCGGCCGTGGAGCTTTCGCTTCATGTTTACCCGCAGCCCCGTGATTTGATGGATGGCGGTCCTGATGAGGACATCACTTAAGCTATGAATTATGGTTACGGATCTGGAAGTTACAGATTCATAGATGGAAAAGGGGAGGAAGTTATAAGCTTGTGTATCTCCCGTAGTAAGTGTAGCGTTAGTTGCCGCCACTCATCAATAGACACCCCAATCTAAACCGAGGGTTAGAGGGATCAGGGATCAATACCATCAGACATAGAAGAATGCAGCTCTCATGGTCAACGCTCCTTACTGCCGGCCTCGCGACCATCAGTGTCCAGGCTACGCCGGTTGAGGTTGCCCGTCGGGCCACTCCGACGGTCTACCTGGCCGGTGACAGCACCATGGCCAGGACCAGCGGTGCACATATGGGTGAGTATTGAAACAAAAGCCCCCCTCCTGGCATGAACATACGACTAACATCTCTCAGGCTGGGGCGAGTACCTTCCCAAGTATATCAACCTTCCCGTCGTGAACAAAGCCATCTCCGGCCGCTCAGCCCGTAGCTACACCAACGAAGGCCGCTTCGCCGAGATCGAGCGTCTCATCCAGCGCGACGACATCGTCATCATCGAGTTCGGCCACAACGACGGCGGCTCACCCAACTCAGCCAACGACAACGGCCGCAGCGCCTGCGGTGGCACTGGCGATGAGGTCTGCCGCTCCGGCAAGACTGGAGAACTTGTCTACACCTTCAACAAGTACATCGAGAACGCAGCGCGCAGCTTCTTGAATAAGGGCGCCCGCGTCATTATTAGCAGCCAGACGCCTAATAATCCATGGGAGGGCGGTGTTTTCAGCCAGAGCCCGCCAAGGTTTGTCGGGTATGCTGGGCTGGCGGCGCAGAGGACAGGTGCCAGCTTCGTTGATCACTTCTGGGCTTGCATCAATATGTATCGCCGGCTGGGTAACCAAAAGACGAACTCGCTGTTTCCACAGGATCATACACATACAAACCATGAGGGCGCGGATCTTGTTGCGCAGGCGTTTGTGCAGGCTGTGGCGAGGGACTTTAACGGGACGACGCCGCTGAAGCAGTATCTTAAGCAGCCTGTTCCGACGGTGTGGTGAGTTAGTAGCAAGTTGGAATATTAAGGAGTTAGGTCGGTTCGTTTCTTGGTTCGTGTGCATAGTTTCATCTTCACATGTACATATATCTCATCCGGAGCGGTTTGGGTTCGCATCGACAAGGACCCTTATGATCAAGAGAAGTGATATGTGTCGGTAACGTAGCTGAGCGACCGTTAACCCTCACTTATCAGATATGTGTGACGCGGTAAGGATGTCTCTCAACGGTAGAATGTCCGGGACAGTTAAAGCTCCATAGATTAGGTTAGCAAGTCGAGAACCGAAGCTTAAAGAAAGGTTTGATTCGATATACACACGCAAAAAATACCTAAGAGTGAGTTTCTCTCGACCCCTGGGAGAACAGAGACGCATAAGGGCACCGTACTACCTTGTAGGTGGGTGGAATCATCCGCTCGAGGTTGTTATCATGCCAAATAACAGAAGCGCTTAGTAATAGGGAGTACTGAAACCCTAAGCCCAGGAATACGGTGGGAGTTGTGGTGGGAGTTAAACCTACAACCTGAAGGATGGTACAGATGAACTGCTCAGAGAGTAGGTCACTGCGCAAACAAACCCCAATTCTGGCGATCTTTGTTGAAAAAAAAAAAAAAAAACAGGTCTGAGAAAAATCATTATAATGAAGGTTGGTTCCTGGTTGGTTGAGACATGGGAACTGTGGAACATGGACCAAGGGGACTGACTTTCATCCCAAGGTGAGGGTTCTGAGACTTGAATCAGAGCCGAACAGTTCAAGAGGGGCATTACCCATCAAAAAAAGCATAGAAAGCGAGAAGGGAGGGTGAAAAACCGTCCTTAGAGTCATGTCTTGACAGCTCCAAAGGATTCGTGATACTGAATTTGGCATTGGCTTTAGCACAATATGACAGAGAACAAAGAGTATCGTTCATGGTGCAATGATCTGACATCGGGGCTTTTATCACCGAGGTCTCCAATGACACGAAGCAGTGAAGAAGGTGCCCCTCACCATCGCGAAGTGGACTATGAAGATAAAGCAGAATTTTGCCAGTGAGACTCGGCATTGCAGCCGCGTCAGGCCCAAGGTTTCTAGGTTCAGTGACTTCAGGCTGATGTCGCCGGCTCATCAATGCCGAACGCCTGCTCAACCTATCACGACGGTGCTGAGCAAATCCCTGACAGACGGCAGGGCCCCTGGCGGCAGAGATTAGCCGCAGCGATCATGCTGCGACACGTCAATCGCTCGGAATAAGCTTGAAAAGTCATCAGCTTGCTCTTTTAGATCAGAGGCTTTAGTCGCAAGAGAGAGAGAGAGAGAGAGAGAGAGAGAGAGAGAGAGAGTAATGATCTAAACGTTGGCATTTTACCATGCTCTCTCTCTATGTTTCTCTCTTCTCCCTCCTGTTCTTCACCACTCAGGGACAGAAACTCTCACAGTTGACACTGTGCTCCAACAACCCAGCCGGTCCCCTAACTGTTTCCCCGGATAAACCCTCCAGTCATCCCCTCTCAACCGACTTCGCTCCATGGTCCTCAGCACCCCTCTGCCTTCACCCCCCTAACCGCTTCCAAAAGACTAAGAACAAGCCCGAACCCCTCTGCATCTTCCACAGTCCCTCGACGTGGTCCGGCTCGCCCTTGGTCTTGATCACATCGCCATCGATCGCTTTCTCGACCTCCCAATCCGTCATTCATGACCCGGATATCCCATGGCTCAGTAAACTCCGAGGCCAGGAGTTCAATGATCTCCCTAAGCCAAGACCGTATGTGGTCAAGAAAGTCCGAGGTAAAGGGCAGGGCGTCATCGCAGTGCAGACTATCAAGAAAGGGGAAGCCGTAATGAGAGAGACGCCTCTCGTCTTGCAGATCTCTAACCCCGGAGAGGATGTTCTAGGTTGGCAGGGACTCGACATCAAAGGGGCAATTAAAATGATGTTGAACAAAACAGCTGAGGTGATCCCGAAAGAAATGAAGGACACTGTATGGGCCTTGGCTAAACAGGGCAAGGGAGATGTGTTGGAGGATGTGATGATGACGAATGCGTTTGATGTCAGTGTTGCAGGTGTTGAGCATGACGGGCTTTACCCCGGGATCGCGGTACGAACTCTTATTTTTGTTCTCCAGGGGAATGAGTTTGGGGTGTGTGTGAGAGGAAATTTTGCTGATCAAGAAGCAGCGGATCAACCATGCGTGCAAGCCCAAGTAAGTCCCCTCCAATAAGAGTTTGAAGTTTGAGCTGATCATGATCAAGTTGCTTTATCCGCTACTCCCCGAGCACCCTCTTGATGGAAGTAATCGCTTACCGCGACATCTACCCTGACGAAGAGCTTACGTTAAGCTGTCAGTCTCCTCCCCTTCCGCTTCCCCCTTACTTTTTTTTTTTTTTCGTTCCTCAACAGCAGCTAACTCCCAAGTAGACACCCCCTTAAATATTCCCTCCGACATCCGCCACGAAATCCTCCACCACCATTGGCGCATCTCCTGCACCTGCCCTCTCTGCTCCTCCCCATCTGAACTATCTCAGTCTGACCGTAACCGGAATCGCATCGAATCACTTCTCTCCCTCTTATCAAGCCCGAACCCCCCTCCCAAGGAAACCATCCCCATGATGATCAGCGAAATCGAGGCGCTCGCCTCAAGAGAAGGGATGGACGCTCAGATAGGGGATTTATACCTCATCATGGGAAAGGCGTACAAGCGTATGAAGGATGAAAAAAAAAGCGAGGGAGCTTGGAGAGAAGGCACTGAGGTTTTTGACATATTACGCGGGGTTTGATAGTGATAGGACAGAGATGGCTCTAAGGTTCATGGAGGGGTTAGGCACTTAGGAGCGATAAGTATGAGGAAGGCTTCAGAAGGGTTAGGGTGTCCAGAGGGGACTTGGATGCTTAGTGAAAGGTATATACTCTCAGGGGAAGCATTTGTCAAGGGCAACAAAGAAAGTTCAAAACAACCAAACAGAGAGCATCACGAACATAGATTGGAGCCAAAAGATTTTTTTATATATAAAAAAATCTAACAGCCCTTATTCATTTATTTATTTATTGTAACCTAACGCAACGCTAGCCCAACCCGTCCCGTGCTCCGGTCCATGCATGTAATGAACTACATAACTGAATCGAAATTCCTGCCAGCCCAAGATAATAAACTGTCAGACTCATAAAGAGCATAAGAAGAGATAACAGATCATTGCAAGCGTCGTCTCTTCGCGCCAGCCGAAGAGCTGACCCCCGAGACGCGGTTCCCATCTTCCTCACGCAGTCTCTTAGGTATCACTTTCAAGACATATCTCGGCGTCTTGCCGTTGTTGATAGTATTATTAATCATCGTAGTTGGTGCCGTTGTTGTAGCATGTAATTGGCTCTGAGAGACACCCGACATTCCAGGTTTCTTCGAGGAGGCTGTAATTTGGTCGAGAATCTGCAACCTCCGCATTTCGACTTTCAGGACCCACAAGAGAGTAAGTAGGGCCTCCTTCGACGGCAGCGCGGCTCCAGGGAGCCAGCCGATCGCCTCACGACGCTTCAACAGCATATCCCGCTGCGGATCCCCGCCAACCGCAGCCGGCGCTGACGCGTCGTCGCCTCCGGAAACCTGGCCAGCCGAGACGCCCTCAGAGGACACCAACCGCAATACCTCCATCGTCGCATCCATCAAGGGACGCGCCAGGATGGGGCTGCAGGTAAGGATCTTCCGAAGGGTTCGGAGTCTCAAGGTTGAGGAGGGACGACGAGTCTGCGACGGAACGGCCGCGGAGGTGCTGCTGGGGGAGCTGCTGCTGCTGCTCGCCACTGGGGGCGACAGGTTGCTGCTCGCCGTCGGTAGTGATGAAGTCGTTGAAGTCGAAGTCGAAGTTGGTTGTAGGGAACGGGAACGATGAGGTGTCGTCACCAGCCAGATGATCGTATTCAAAATCGGTCGAGTTGGGGGAAGAGAGAAGCCCGCTTTCAAGGACATAGCGATCTGCATCAAGGGCCTCTGGCACACCGAAAGAAGCGTCGATGTGCAGGCCAGCAGGAGCTGGAGCGGGAGTAGAAGGGCCAGCACTGGGGCCAGCGACTGCTGAGAGAGCTTGAGCCAGGCCGAAGCCGGCGCCTCCGCCAACTGACACTGCAGGTCGTCACACAACATCGCTGCAGGATGTTGTGTCGAGTCGGGGGAGACGGCAGCCTTGGCCGGGGCCGCCACGGTCGCAGCAGCCGCGGGCACCACAGAGGTCGTTGCGGTGACTGGCGCGGGAGTTGTCGTGAGCGGCGCTGGGCTCGGCGCTGGCGCCGGCGTGGCAGCAGCCGTTGTGGGGGCTGTTGTCGCCGGCGTGGTCGTCGCAGCCGTAGCCGCAGCCGCAACCGCAGGCTCCTTGTGCTCTTCGGACGTCTCAGGGATAGGGCTGAGCGATGGGGAGAGAGAAGCCGGGTTCACGGTGTTGTTTGTGGGGTTAGGGAAGGTCTTCAGGAGCTGCTCCAGAGAGCTGGCCCCAGGGATGGCAGGATTGGCACCCAGAGCGCTGAAGATTTCATTGGAGAAGTTGAGGCTTGTCTTACGGAGGGCATCGAACGCCGTCCTGCTCCCGGAAGACTTAAGGCCGCCGTTCTTGCGCATCTTCTGGATCTCCTCCAGGATGGCCAGGTTGATCTGGTGAGCTTGCCTGAGCGCCGCCTCAAGATCCTTGTTCCTCCTCTCGAGCATCTCAACCTCCATGCGTTTCCTCTCGCGCGACGACTGAGCAGCGCGACGGTTGCGCAGGACACGCTCGACCCGGCGCTGCTCCTTCTCGTCCTCAGTCTTGGCGCGTTTCCTGGGAGGGAGGTTGGTCTTGGGGACGGGAAGCACCTGGCCCCATGATTTCCTCTTCTTAACGGGCTTGTTCTCATCAGGCTTGGACACTGGGGGCGGTGTGGGGTTGATCAGGGGCTGAGCCAGCGTCGCCTGAGTGAGTGCTGTCAAGCCGGCGAGTACGGCGAGCCCGTCATCCGGGTCGTCGATCAGCGGTTTTGGCAGCATCTCGAGAGGGTTGACTGGAGCCGGCGCCGGGGCAGCGGGGGCTGGAGTCGCGGCGCTGGTGCCAAACAGAGATGGGTACATCTCATCCGGTGTTGAGAGAACGGACTCGGCGGGAGAGTCCTCGAACTTGATCTGAGAGTCCGCAGGCGCAGGCGCCCAAGAGGGATCCATGGTGGGAGTCGGATCCATGGTGATTTGGCCGAGTGGTGTTTGTTCTTGTGATGACATCGTAGTTGTGTGTGTGAATTATGTGTGGATGTGGGAGTGAGTGAGTGAGTGTGGAAGTGTAGATGATGTGAATGTCGTCCTCGTCGTCGCCGCGGGGGATGCAGACGTGACACAGGCTCGACGTGACGTGCTGTTGTTGAGTTGCTGACTGACGGGGGATTTGACCGATTGATTGATTGATAGTTGCTGAGATGCGAATCGAGGTCTTCGCAGATCCTCAATCCTTGTTATCAATCAATGCGTCAGGGCAAGGCAGAAAGCAAAAGAACAGCAAAGCTGCTTAGAAGCTGAGGGTCCGCATGGCGGATGACAAAATTCTCAGTGCTTCAGCATGACTCGCAGGAGCCCAACCAGGCGAAGGCAACTGGACCTGCTGCTGACTGTTCCTGCTTGGCCTTGGCTGTGCAGTCACTGCAGTGTGCAGACGAAAAGGACAGTTTGTCTTCTTGCTCAACCAAACGCTCCTGCTGTCTGACAGAGGGAGGGCCTGCCTTCTTTTAACTTCAGGACACGCTGGCTTCAGGGGATCAGCCTGAGGCAGCACAGGCCTCGCCCCTGGACCCATAGATTTCTTGGCGTGCGCTGATTGGCCGCCTGTGTCGTACCAGGAAGGTGCAGCCCCCGAGTCCGAACAAGGAAAGTCTGAAAACACGGAGCGAACTCGAGTGTCGCCGATGAAAGCCCAGAGACCCACCGGACCCCCCTGGATCACCAGTGGCCACGGAGCTGCTGAATCGAGGAGCTGATCTGGATCAAACGGACGACAAGCCGATGCAGATTGTTGTGCTGCAGCAGTCGATGCTGCGAGGTTGAACTGCACGAGGTTGGAGCCCCGAGTTTACATTGGGTTTGGGGGAGGCGGAGGGGCGCAGATGCAGCCAAAGCCGACATTCGTTTACTCTCACGGTCTCACCCACACCCAAATTGCTGACACACGCACACGCACACGCACACGCACTGCAGCAGGCTGCAGCAAAAGAGATGCCAGCCGCAGGTGTTGTTTGAGTCGAGCCGCTCGCTGGATCGTCCGAGCTAACACGGCTTGACAACCCTATTGGCCTTATTGTATTTTTTTTTTTTTGTAAGCTCGTCTTGATGTTGAGGCACAGCAGACGGGGAGACGGGGGGAGGGTGTCGCTGGTTTAGCCCTCGATCGAGCAATTATCTGGTCCTCCCTTACAGTTTACACAAAGGCATACCTATCCCTACAAAGACTCCAGTAGCCCCTGATTCCTGCGATAACATCATCCAGATGGAGACGCGAGAGTTGGGTCCCCTTTGCTGATCCCTCCTATCTCCTCCACTGTCCACTATCTGACCTTCCACTATCGATCGACTGCGATCCACTGTGTTTCGGAAGATCTCATTACCAACGGGATTGCGAAGTGCGATTGCGGCGCAGTCAATCGGACAGTAAACAACGCAAAGCATTGACTTAAAGCATCTTTGTGTCACTGAGCCGAAACGTGTGGTCTGAGCTCTCTTCGGCCGCATGCCCAAAATGATACTCATCTATGATATATTTACTTACGGAGCAACGACAGCTTGATTAGGATGGAGTTGCCTGCTCCATTATCCCTCTCATACGTGAACTGCCAGCTCTGCGCCAATATATGTGCCAGTACAGAAGGCTGTCGCTCGATATGACCGGCTCACATCATCATCTACCATGAATGGCCGTACATATATGTCCGGTATGCGACGATGGCTGGTTGAATGAGCTACTCATCCCTGCAAAGATACCAACGGCGCGCGTCTTCTCTGCCGAGGAGCAATCTAGCGCAGAAGCTTGTACGATGATGGTAGCGAGAACCTTGGAAATCTGGGGTTGGCACCGCAGAATCACTGATGTCTGGTTCGCTTCGAATCAGCCTGAATTTCCCCGGTTCCAAGACGGCACAGCCGAATTTTTGACAATAGGCGGAGGACACTTCCGAAGTGCATCAACAAGTCCCGACCGCATTCTTGGCTCGCAAGTCGCCAGGGGCGAAAGTTCGAGAAGGCTTCTGAATTGAGCTTGGTCGATTTTTACCCCAGATTCGGGAGGACGACGGGCCAGGCGGGTGCAATTGTCAAGGTGAACATTGCCGTGATTCCCCCTTGATGATTTGTCTTTTATTTTTTCGCTGATGTTGATGGCAAGGAGGTGAACTCGAAGTGCCGAAGTGCTGATGGTCGGCTCGTGACAATTCTTGGGTCTTCCCGAAGGACTCAACCATTCGGGAACCGTGCCTGAGTGTTGACTAAGCGCTCGCTTCCTGTGGTGACACGTCTGTTATGCGCTTCCAGGCGGTGAACACAGCGCATTGCCTCTCTCGAGCTGAGATCTCATCCGCGCTGCAAGACACGCAAGACAAGATCCGTTTGATCAGTCAAACATCATCAAAAACGTGGGGGACTGCAGTAACGTTGTCTCTCATTCTCTCGTCTCAATGGTCGTTCTATCACTGATGCTCTTTGACCCTTTGTCAGAGATGCTTGGAATCCGGAAGGTGGATGGGAGGGCCCGGCGCCAAGCAGACACCAGGCCACGCCAGCGGGGCAATCGGCCAGCCATCCGAAAGGTGAAACACCTCTTTGGGCGTTTTCTGTCTGGACATCTCTGGGCATTTTCTAGGCAGAGAGGCACGTGCGTTGTGCGGCGCAGCCGTGTCGGCCTCCGTCTGTCTGTCGCTCTTGCGGGCCGCATTTGACCGCTCCCCTCTCCTCACAGAGGCTTGGACAACACACAACATACACACATACACACACACACACAAACAAAAAAAAAAAAAACCAACAACTCATTCTCCCCCCCCCGGGCGAACCGAAGACACCCTCTTGTTGTTCTTCAAGAAAGCTTTCCTCCACCAAAACGAAACCACCACAACCACAGAGTGAACTGCCGATACTTTGCATCACATTGCGGACTAATCAGGCGGCCAAATCGTATCTCCCAAGTGGGGCTCGTGTCCATGCTTTGCTGACCAAGCAATACTCACCGTCCTGGCGCCCTCTCCGACCGCCCTCACCTCCCCACTGGGTTGCGTGGAAAAGGGCCCGAGTGCCAACTCTCTCTACGCGAGTGCGTGTGTCGAGTTTTGTGTCTTGTCGTCCGGCCTGTCCTCCCTCGCCACTCTCATGGCGCCTCGGCAGTGGAGGCAAACCCTCGCTCTCGTCTTCCCACAAATCCCATCCAATCCCATCTTTTTGTCTTTTTGTGGTAGCGGTGGAGTAAACCTGACCGGAACAGGCATATGGAACCCTTTGTCGGGAAAGGCACTTGTGGAGGACTTGGAAGAAATGGAGAGAATGGAGACTTGGGAGAAAAGAGAGAGGATCAGGATCCTCCCGTCCCGTTCATCGACTCCAGATTTGAACGGAGCCGCAGGGTTACGTCTCCCTCGGCATCCTAAGCTTCGTGATGGATACGCGTGCCATGAAAGTCTGGGGTAACAATAGTGTCAAGCGGCACAGAATCCACGTTCCACGTTGGACTCCATCCATCAGGCAGTCTTGTGATATTAACCTCTGGTCATCCTCGCTCTGGGCATCATTAGCGTTACGTTTGAGACTGTTGGTGGCCGAAGCGCCGGTTAAAAAGCAGCAATATTAAGGCAGGAATTCATACACATATACACCTAGTACATTTTCACTCTCCCCAGCACCAGTTCCCTCTAGACCGGAAAGAAGATTTCAGTTTTATTTATGCTCCGATTCCGTCTATCACACCGCGCTCCCAACCCATTCCCATGAGTTTTGGCATTTAGATCCGTCCCCCAAACGCCTCGACACCGGACATGCTGACCGCTCTGACACTCTCCTTCAAGGAGAGCTCCAGGCGGTTTGTGTTTAAAAAGTTTGCTTCTCTCTCTCCTGGAATCACCTTCCGGAAAAGACGAAGTCGTGGGCAGCTTTTTGGTTCTTTTGCCACCTTTGATGAAATATTTCCGTCTCCTTCAGAAGACGGGCTCCCAGCCGGTACCCCACTGGTGGGGGCTCTTGACCAGACCCTCAATGTCGCTGGTGACCCAGCCGCCATAGAAATCGCCCGGCGGCGGCTGAGCACGCTCATTGTCGACATAACATTCCCAGGGACCGACGAAGAAAGCAAGCAGGCCCTTGATGGCCTCGTACTCCTTGGGCGGCTCGTTGTACGACCAGATGCGGTTGCTGATGGTCTCGGCCGCCGAGATGGGGCTCATGATGGCATAGTACGTGGCAGCGCCATAGAACTCGGAGAAGGTCGAGCGAGGAGTTGTGCAGAGAGGCAGCTTGACCCTGCTAGGAGGGACGTAGTAAACTGCAGCAGAGGGAGGGAAAGTCAGTCAGCCAACCGAGTTCCCGGAAACACTCCATAAAACTAATGGAGGACCGCCCACGGGCAATGGCGATCCGCCGAGTCGTGATGATGGGGGTTCGATGCTATGGCGCATGTATTTTCGTTGTCGTCGGGGTGAGAGGAATCCAAAGGCGTAGTGAGAAAGATTGGGAGTGCCCGAAGGCGGAGGGACAGACCAACCAGGAGCGTGATGAGTCTCCAACACCCAGAAACCCTCTCCGGGTGGGCAATCGACTAATAGGTGGCCGTGCCACTTGATGACGATGTGACGGTTCACCCTCTCCACGATGGGCGGGCGAGGGAAGGTAGCGACGTTGTGTTTCCGCATGGCCGACATCTTGACGCCTTCTCGTGTCGTGGAATGTATCGTACTCTGGCAATTCGATATTGGCGGGAAGAAAAACTTGCGGTCAAGGTCCAAAGGCGCGAAAGGACGAGGAGGTGACTTGAAAAAAATGCTCTTTCGATTCTTTAAACTGAACTGGGGTCATCCATGTGCCTGCCGGCTGTGGCTTGCGCTCCAAGGCCCACTGCAGGTCCACTTTGGCTGCTGCAGAGAAAGCTTCGATAAGGCCGAGGGCACCAACCAGTTACAGCCAGTCGCAGCCAGTAGGCGCAACCTTGTGCCCTGTCAAAACAGCAGCCCTATTGATCCTATCGTTGAGCCCCACTGCACCAGCCACAAAACTGCGTCATCAGACCACAGACCACGTTCACCAGCCCCACCTAACAAGATTTCTCGGCTTTTGGCCGTGTTGTGACTCCACAGTACCCCTCTCAGCTAGCCAACCAGCGGAGGGGAAGCTGGATCAGCCTGATGTCCCCATTCGCCATCCGCCTGAGTGATCGCATTGCCTTGTGCCTGGACCGCCCGTGCCTCACTTGACAATGAGCAGTGAACATTGACTTGAACCCTTGATTCTTTCCATCCAAAGCGCATCTGTTGTTTTTTTTTTCCTGTCGATTTCATACATCGACACCCCGATTTCAAAAGAATAACGGCCACTACTGCCGGTCGATTCATAGGCATCCCGCTGATTCCTCAGTCTGCTAATCAGCCACCAAGCTCTCGCTGCCGATCCATCCCGTCATCAGCCGTTGCTGAGCAGATATGATGTCTAACCGGCAACTCGCGAAAGATCTCCAACTTGAGTTCCAGGCGAGGGTTGGTTTTACCGCGAAGGCCGTGGTGGCATGACAGTAGCTAACGGTGTTTCTTATCCCCAGTTTAACGCAAAACAAGCCCGCCGCGAGGCCCTCAAGGCCCAGAAGCAGGATAATGAACTGAAGAAGCAGATCCAAAATGTACGCTCTCCCCGAATGAATATCACTGTCTCCCCCAACATCCAGCTAACTTATGTCTTCTCATCTAGCTCCTCAAAAAAGGTGAAACCGCGCAAGCCGCCCAGAAAGCCCGCATGCTTCTCGCCAAACAAGCCATCGCCGCGCAAATGGACCAAGCCGCCGACATGGCCGAGCTGTCCCTCGCCCAGATCCAAGCCAACAACGCGATGAACCGCATGACGGCCATGATGCAAGCCTCCAGCCGCACCATGGCGCGTGCACAGGCGGCCGCCAACCCGGAGCGCACGCTTCTCACGTTGGAGCAGTTCCGCGCGCAGAACGAAGAGTACGCCATGAGCAGCGGGATCTACCAAGACGCGTTGACGCAGAGTACCAGTGTGCAGGTCAGCGATGATGCAGTGCAGGAGTTGTTGGGGAAGTTGGCGGATGACGCGGGGCTGCAGTTGGGCGCCGAGTTGAATGCGGCTAGCGCGAGTAAGGTCGATCCGGCGAGCATGCAGAAGGAGGAGCCGAGCCAGGAGGTGGAGGATGCCCTGCAGCAGCGGTTGAGGGCTCTTAGGGCGTGAGCTTAAGACGTTGGATTGTTGCTATTGATGGGAGTTGAAGGGCTTGCTACGTGGAGTTTTGAAATGCTAATCACGCCACGACCGGAGTTGTATTTACAAAGATGACGGTTGATCGACGGGCAGCCACAGGAGAGTTTGCTTGATGTGGTCACAGAGAGGTCACACTGGGTCCTGATGATGGAGGATTATCTGCATGGCGTTTGACGGTTTGGGTACGGGTGACGGCATGGAAGACATCGGGTTCAAGTTTCACGACGTATATGTTTTCTGTTGGCATGCTTCTGGTTAGACGTAGTCACTTATCGATTCAATATTCATCATTATCTATACACCCTGTCTACGCAAAGTACTCTTTGTACAGAGTGACAAGTCCCATTTCTATCACTCCATGAAAGTTATGCCTTCCTCATAACCCTGGTTTTTTTTTCTTTTAAATGACGAATCCACCAAACGTACAAGCGCCATGATCCATCCCGATTACCAGGCAATAGCCATCCCATATCCTGACCTAATCCTCAGCTTCCTCGATACTCACATGTACAAGCTCGCCACGGCGGTAATATCTCTCCTGATCATCTCCTGCGCAGCCGCCATTTTCTGATAGAGATCAGGATCGCCAATGATACGTGCCGCGTTCTTCACCTCACGGCATGTCTCATCCAGCCGTGTAATAGTCCGCACAATCGTGCCCTCCAGCACGTCCGTCAGGTCTGTTATGTTCTTGAAGCTCATCCCGCGAGCCCACTCGTAGACTACCTCCATCAGCCCAAAGCGCGGTTTGCTGACGAAATCGTTGCCTTCGTCGCTCGTCTGGATGACTTGATGCAGCTCTTGCACGGCGTTGACGCGTTCCGATATCTCGATGATCTTCTTCATGCCACGCTCCAGGTTGCTTGTCAGCCTTGGTACGGACTCAGTCTTCTCCTGGAACACGAATGCCGACAGAAGTGCCGCGATCTCAGCGGGCTCGTAGTCGGCCAGCACGTTTTCAAGAATCAGTTCTGTCAGCACGAGCTCGTCGCCGGAATGGATCTCGCAGGCAACCTTGCCCTTGAGCTGGATGCGCGTCTCGTTGTCGATGAACGACAGGTCCTTGAGTACCTGGATGCGCTGCTCATAGTCGGGAAGCAATTGCAGGTTCTGCTCCGAGAGCTGCTTGCGCAGCTCGGCAATGTGCGTCTTGATGACCCACTGGTCGTGGCACATCGCGTAGTGCTTCAGGAAGAGACGACAGTCCGTGGCGGCTGGCGACTTAGTCACCTTGATCTCGGCCTCGCGCCGTTTCTGGAGGATCTCATGGATCTGCAGGCTGCGGATGCGGCCCAGGTCGATCTCGTCCCAAATGTCGGAGTTCCACGTCCGGCAGATGTTGTGCAGCCGTTCCTTAGCCTTCTGGTAGCCGTCGCCGCCGAAGATGTCCGGTAGCACCCCTTTGGTGACCGTCTTGGTGAGGCATACCAGGTCGCTGATCGGCACGTGTAGCGTCTTGGTCGAGATGTGCCGCTTGTTTTGGGGCAGCGGAGTGAAGTGCTTGCGGAAGGCCGGCACAAAGGGCAGCAGATCGGTGTCGTTGCGTTGCTCGCGATTCGTCCTAATCTCGAGAACGTGCAGTGTTGGGCTCTGTGCGCTGCTCTTGACGCTGGCACCCTCGGCGAGGAGGATGCCTGGCGTGCGCACGCCTTCTTTCATCCAGACGATCAACCGGCCAGGCGAAAACATCTTCCTGCCCAGCGGGTTGACCAGCAACCCGCGGTAGAGGTCTTCAGTGAGCTTCTTCCACTCCTCTCCAGCATCATGGCATTCATCCATGTGCACATCGCAAATTTGGCATGGGTCCCGCTTGACCTTGGCCAGATCGGCTTCGGACAACTTGACCTGTTTCTCGTGCTCGGGTAGCAGTTGCTGGGTAGCGTGCTCGGAGAAACTGCGCTTAATCATTTCCTCGATCTTGAGCGCCTCGACACGAAGAAGATTCAGAATCATATTGTACGTAAGCCGGAACTGTGAGCGGAGCTTGCTGGGCTCGCCGAGGATCATTTGCCGTAAGTCGGAGACGGGAGGAGCCTCGTCGCCGCCCGGAGGAACAATGATGACGTAGCCGACGTTGTCGAGACCGCGTCTGCCTGCGCGGCCAGCCATCTGAGTGTACTCGCCAGGGAGGAGGTTCCGGAACTGGTGACCATCATGCTTTCGATACCCGGAGAAGACGACGGTCCTGGTAGGGAGGTTGAGACCCATGGCGAAGGTTTCCGTAGCAAAGAGAACCTTCACCAGGGTTTGAGCGAACAGAATCTCGACGAGTTCCTTGACAATCGGCAGCAGACCGCCATGATGAACAGCAATACCACGTTGGAGCATCTCGCGTACCCTCAAGATCTGAGGGAGCACGCGGTCCTCGGGCTTCAACCGGGCGATCGACCGCTCAATAATCATATGAATCAAGCTCTTCTCCTGCGCAGTGCAGAAGTCTTGGTTGCTCAAGGCATCAGCATTCTCTTCACAGCGCTTCTTCGAAAACACGAAGATGCACGCCGGCAGGAGGTTCTCCTTCCTGAGATAGTGCACCAGGTGGACCCAGAGAGTCTTATCCTGGTTAGCTGTGGTAAAGCCACCTGGCCTGCCAGTCCGCCCAAGATGTCCCGGAGCATGACTAGCACGTGGAGGGCCGCCCCTGCCGCGCTGCTGTCCGCCGCCTCTCCCTCCTCCCCGCTGCTGGTTGCCGCCCCGTTGGGCACCGCCACGGCCGCCTCTCTGGTTGCCGCCGCCGCGAGCCGGGGGCGCAGATTGCTGCGCGATCGCCTTCTGCTTGTCCTTGCCTTGGATGGCCGAATTCGCGTCCTTCCAGCCCTTCTCGATGAACTTCTTCTCCGAGTCGACGATCTTAAAGATCTTGTTGCCACCCCAGAGGTAGTGCTCCAGGGGGACGGGACGCTTCGGTGTGGAGATGACGTAGATGTCCTTCTTCTTTGTCCGGCCGACCCACGAGGCAAACTCGTAGGTGTTCGGGACAGTAGCCGAGAGCAGAATCAAGGAGACGTGCTCCGGCAGCATGATGATGACTTCTTCCCAGACTACACCACGTTCGTAGTCGTTCACGTAGTGAACCTCGTCAAAGATGACGAACTCGACATCGCGGATAAGGTCTGCTCCACGGTAGAGCATACTCCGCAGAATCTCGGTTGTCATGATCAGACAGCTAGCCTCAGGGTTGATCTGGACATCACCCGTGAGGATACCGACCTCGTCGAATGTTTGACGGAAGTCTCGGAACTTCTGGTTACTAAGTGCCTTAATAGGCGAGGTATAGATGGCCTTGGTCATATGTTTCGCTGCCAAGGCGATGGCATACTCGGCCACGACAGTCTTGCCTGCCGAGGTATGTGCCGCAACAAAGACGGAATCGCCGTTCTCCAGGTGGTAAATAGCCTCCTTCTGGAAAGTATCTAACTCGAACGGCCATTCTCTGGCCATATCAGGCACTAACTCCCGGAAGTTGGGAATTTCTCGCTTGACGTCGACCATATGTGCCCATTCGCGCCCAGCTTTTCTAGCACTAGAAACTGCCAGGGGATGGCGAGGCTCAAGCGCGGGGAATTCAACGGGCAGGATTGAGTCGATGTCCTCAGCGTCTTGCTGCTCCTCCTCGTTCTGCTCGCCTTCTTCGCCATTGGCCGTCGGCTTCTCCCCGTCTTCATCCTCGGCGCCAGGAACCGCTTCCGGCTCCTGGTCCAGTACCTCTTCCACCTCTCTCTCTTGCTTCTCGCTTTCAGCATCAGCAAGCTTCTTCCTCCTGGAAAAGTCAATGCCCCGCGACAGGCCTGGAGCAACCTCAAGCAGACCACCCTCTCCCAACTTGATCACCTTCTCCAGCTTCTTCCGAGTATCAATCTCCTCATTGCCCGACGCGCGCAGCTGATCCTCCAGCGCAGCCGTCGACTCGATACTCTCAAGGCCGCCCGGAGCGAAGGGGAAGAAGCCGGCATGACCACGCACAAACTCGGCGCGCCCGGCGGGCTTGCGCAACATGGACGTGCTGTTTTTAGCCGTGGCATGAGACGCGGGGACAGTGACGTTGCGGTACCCCGTAACGCGGCCCTCAAGGCCATGGCGAATGAAGCGAGTGACGGTACGAGTCTGGGTTGGGGCGACGCGGAAGAGGAGGGTGTAGTCGGTCGGGATGTCCCAGCGCTGCTGGAGCTTGTCGAGCCATTCGGAGGAGAACGAGGTCGAAGGGTGGAGGTATTTGGCTTCTAGCTCGGCGCGCAACTCATCGGGGTCGGTGTCCCTCGGGGGGAGGTCGACAACCTTGTTGAGGATGTCGTCGATGGCGTCGAAGGGCAGGTCTTGTTCGTTGAAATGCAGCCTTTGCATGGCATCGCTGAGTTCGCACGCCATAGTGGCAGATACTGGCCAGACAGGCCCTGTATAATAAATTGAGTTGCGAGCAAACGCTGTCGATGGCGGTTGTTGGATTGAGGTCCAAAGTTTGGGTTTGGCTGAGCCTGCGATTGACTTGACCGGGCTGCTCGACAACTTGACCCCGCCAAACACAATTGTGGGGTCGAGGTCAAGCTGACGTCAGGGTTAGGGTCACATATAAGTGAAGGGGCATCCTCGTTCATTCTAACGGCCGACAGAGGGCACAATCTACCGGCTTGACGCTTGCACGCGGTGAAAGCGGGCTTTTCCCAGGTAATTCATACAGTTTGTCAATGTATACTAAGCAGCTCAAGACTTAACTACTCCCAGAGGCCCTCCATCTCGGCCTCTCCATCTCCGCCAGCCTTCTCTTGGGCTTGGCCTGTCCCTCCCCCCGATGCGCCTTTTTGCTCATCTAATGTTGCATTGTGGCTGCCAGCGCTTGCTTCCAGCTCCGCCATGAGCGCGTCAAGATCATCACCATCATCACCACCAGCAGCGGGTTTCTCAGGGGCCTGTGTGGTGGCATCAGCCGACCCTGCCTCAGCTGGTTTGGCCTGCTGAGACGATACCAGCGCCTCTGCCTCCACCATAATAGCATCCAAGTCGTCATCGTCGCCATAATAATCATCTGTTGGAGATACAGGCTTCACATCGCCAAATATGCTGTTGTTGGCAGCTGGCCCTGAAGCAGGCTGGCTCGCCCTGGCCGCTCGTTGCCGAGCCCTAGCCTCTGCTTCCGCTGCCGCTGCATCCGCCATCAGCCCATCCAGTTCATCATCATTCAATTCTCGTGTCGATTGTAGACGCTTGGTTTCTGGCGCAGTTGTAGCCCTCTGTGCTCCGTAAGCATCAGCTTCGGCCATCAACTCGTCCAGTTCGTCGTCATTAAGCTCCCGCGTCGGCTGCGAACCATTGCTCCGGATTCCGTTACCGAAGATGCTGCCTGAATTCTGAGCTGCTTGGACCTTAGCTTCAGCCATGAGCGCATCAATATCTTCGTCATTCGGGATGTCGCCGTCAGGCTCTGGCCGAGCGGGCGCAGTGTTGGTCGTGGTATTCCTCCTCGGTGTGGCATCGTAGATATCGCCAAGAAGATCCTCTATTGTCTGGCTTAGCGGGGTCCTGGCTCGCTCCCGTCCTGAACCGTCATCATTAGAAGCGGCCTGGGCAGTGGTTGCTCCGGTGGCCTTCGCAAAGACTGGTGCCACTTTTTCTGGAGGCCTGGGCATATCTCGTGTGTAAATGGGATGTTCGTCCTCGCCTTCATCTTCGAATGAGGCCTTTGGTCTCAGCTCATCGATCCATTTCAGACGGGCGTTGCGCACTGTCGTTTTATGGCCGGCCTTCTCAACCATGGCTAGAGCATCCAGAAAGGTGGCCTTGGGGAAGAGGTCGTCGAGCCATTCTTGGTAAAAGGAAAGAAGCCTGGCAGTGTCTGAGAACTGTAGATTGCGTCAGTCAAAAGCAGTAGCTGGGCATTGCTAGGTAAGGCCTACCTCATGACCCTTGCCCTTGAACTTGAGTCTAGGCGCCATCTTCCGCAGTTTGGGAATGCCCTTCTCCGAGAGCAACCGTTGGTCATCCAGCTTGACTTTAGGTGCTCTCTGCTTCTTCTTCAAGTTGAGCTCCTTGTCGATGCCTAGAGCATCTGTCTTCTGCTTGCTGTTCTTATCGTTCTTGGTCTTGTCATTCTTGTCGCCCTGCTTAGGGCTGGAGGGGCCAAAAAGGTCCTCATCGTCCCAGTCGGAGAGATTGCCAGGATCAAGGTTTCTACCCCTCATTGACGACGCCATCTTGAGCGATATGACTGTCTTGAGTCCAAGTCTGGGTGTATGAAGCGTTTTACCAAATGACCCCTCGAAAGTGCTGTCCTTTGGAGACGTCTGTTTAATTAATGTGTGACGCGTCTAGCCAACTGGACCGCGTCGCGGGACCCCGGCCATTTACAAAAGTGTGGCGCATACGCGCTTATCGTGGCTTATCTACCCTGGAGCATTGTGGCGGTGCATGTCGGATGCCAAGCCTTGTCAACCGGCAGTACCGACCTAAGGCATCCACGCCACCCGAGCTCGAGCCCAGGGTTGGGACGGGAGCATTCGACGTCGGCTCCGGACTTCAATTGATCAGAACCTCGCGAGTTGCTCGACGACGCCTGTCGGCCGCCGCCAAAATGTCGAACACTCCGACCCAGACGTATCAGTTCCCCAGCAAGACCGTCAAGACCGACTACCCTGTGAGTAAATGCCCAATTTGCTGCACTTTTCCGACGACGGCTAACGGCGAAATAGCTCATCGATAATGACCCGTATGTTTCCTGCTAACTGCTGCCGAACCCTCCCCGCGGATTCTACCTCTCCCCTTCGATATCGCATCTCGAGCCGACTAGTCTGACCTAATTGAACATTATACAGTCACTTCACGCGTGTGATTCGCTATGCTCGGCCGTCCGACTACGCCCACGGTCTCGCCGCTGCCGCCGCTGGCCCAGCTGCGCTCTGGCTGATGGAGAGGATTTCTCCCTCGCAGGTCGGCAGGGGCGGTTTCGCTAAGGCCATGCGTCTAGCCGGATTCATCGGTCTGGCCGGCGGCTTCCTCTATTTTTACCAGCGCTCCATCCGTACGTGACCCCGCGCTTGCCTGTTACAAGCCCATGTCTACGAGATGGGCGAAAGAGAGCAACCCTAGAATTGGATTTGGTGGCATATCTGACTGGTTTGCAGTCCGGTTCTACGGCATGTCCGAGAATGCCCGGGAAGTTGAGATGGACATGCGCGAGATGACCGACCGTGTCAAGGCTGGCCTGCCACTGTACGGCGAAAGCAGGCTGAGCCCCGCCATGCAGGGTGTCGCCGCCCGCCAGTCCCGCTACTCGGCACTCTTCTTCGGCGTCATGCCCTGGTTTAACTTTGTCAACCACAACCAGCACGGCGTCGACACTGCCAAGTACTACCAGCAGGCTGAGAGGGAACTGGAGGCTGAGCGCTTGGCCAGGGAACAGGCGCAACAATAAAGGATGGGTGAGGGTGAATTAGAAGGTGGGTGGCGTTGTAGAAGAAACGGCATGGTGGTTCTGGGGATTTGGTGATGGGCGGCACCAGGCCCCAGGCGAGGTCGGGCGCCCGGTGTACATACCAACATTTAGAAGACAGACCTCTGGGTCTCGAGTCAACAAACAATTGTTTCTTCGTGTCACTTACGATTGTCTGGATTTGCTTCTGGTGATTTTCATAGCTTTTTAGGTCATAGCAAGTTTCTGCAGCACTGTCAGGGTACTATGCTCTGAGCCAATTTCTCAGGAACTCGACTGTTTTCCTGATCAGGTATGCATTTGACAGTCCTACGAAGTGGGATTGGATTCCTTCTCCTTGCCAACAGGAACGCTAATACCAGATTTTAGAGCATCCATCATATGCGCCTCGAACTGTGTATCGATCTCAAGAGCGACATAGAACCCCAAAATCTTTTCAATAACCCCTAATCGAAACAGAAGCTTTGGCTGGGGTTCGAGTCTGCAGCCATCAGCTTATTTTCCCAACCGAACATGAGCGACAGCAAGTGATAAGCGCCGGCGTATGTTGATAACTCACACATTGGGCTCCTATCATTACCTGGTTTCGACCTGGTATATATACAGTCTCACGGCAGTAACGAGATTCCATGATCTGGCTCTAGCCCAAAGTTTCTCCCAATGCAGGATGGCATATCATCCTCGCTTCACAAAGGTTAAGGATGGATTGCAAGAACAAAACAACCTCAGTCGAATGTGGCCCCGTCAGCCCAATCCAAGTAAAAATGAAAACGGTTCGGCATCTGCTCGGGAGACACAAGGTCCATTAGGACCCATGATATAACCGGCACGGATCATCAAGACCCCTTTTGCGCTGCCCCCCCTTCAGGAAGGCCGGCGGCCCACGATGCCGGGTAAATTGCCCCGCGATATTACCCCTCCTTAGTGGCACCAATCTAAGCGGACGGCTGCAGCGCCGTTAGAAGTCCCGTGGCTGCATATCTATCACAGAGGATACAGGGTACAGTCCGGGGCAAGGAACACAGAGTCTGGGGCATAGTGAGCCTGTATATTGGACTCAACGCCCAGCCGGGCCTGGGGCCCCGTGGGACCAATATCGGTGATACGCATGGTAGTTGGAATAAGACCGAACTGGTCACCCTTAATCGCTGATTATGGGATGCTGAGGGCAAGGAATGCCGGTAGTTGCTGCGGTCCATGATGGTTGGGATGATAGTCCCCCCCCCCCTGATGGGAAGAATAGATATATTGGGCTCATAGCAGGAAAGCCCATCTCTGGTGTCTCTCTGCCATTTCTAGACACCGGCATTACCATAACGTCAACAGACGCGATATCTCACACCCGACATGAAGTTAACACTCACAGCTGCTTTGGCGACCATCGCCGCCCACGAAGTCGCGGGACATGCTTTGTTCCAGCAACTCTGGGTTGATGGCACTGATTATATACGTAGCCCCATGTTTTTTAACCCCTGGCTCATCTTCACCACTATGCTAACTTAGCCGCACGGCGCCTCCTGCATCCGCATGCCCATGTCCAACTCCCCCATCACCAACGTTAACAGCCGCGACTTCGTCTGCAATGCCGGCACCCGCCCCGTGAGCGGCAAGTGCCCCGTCCGCGCAGGCGGTACCGTCACTGTCGAAATGCATCAGCAGCCCGGCGACCGCTCATGTAATAACGAAGCCATTGGCGGCGCTCACTGGGGGCCCGTGCAAGTCTATCTGTCCAAGGTCCCTGACGCTACCACGGCTGATGGCGCCTCGACGGGATGGTTCAAGATCTTCTCCAACTCATGGTCCAAGAAGCCTGGTAGTAGGTCAGGAGACGACGACAACTGGGGCACGCGCGACCTGAACGCATGCTGTGGCAAGATGGACGTCAAGATTCCCGCCGACCTCCAAGACGGAGATTATCTGCTCCGCGCAGAGGCCCTGGCGCTGCATACCGCCGGACAGGCGGGTGGCGCGCAGTTCTATATCTCGTGCTACCAGATCACTGTCTCGGGAGGAACGGGCACGGCTAGTCCGTCACTCGTCCGCTTCCCGGGGGCATATGGTGCCAATGATCCAGGGATTATGATTAATATCCATTCGGCGCTTGATAATTACATTGCGCCTGGGCCGCCGGTGTACGCAGGAGGGACGACGAAGGTTGCTGGCTCGGGCTGTGCTGGGTGTGAGTCAACTTGCAAGGTTGGGTCGTCACCAAGTGCTCAGGCGCCAACATTTGAGCCGGTTGGCGGCGGTACTGCCGGTGTGCCAGAGGCCTCCTCATGTCAAGTACAGCCTTATGGGCAGTGCGGTGGTCAGGGGTATACTGGGTGCACGCAGTGCGCAGTAAGTTACCTATGTCTTGGTGTTGTTGCCTTCGGGTTATTCGGACACTGACGAACATCTTGCGCAGAGCGGATACACTTGCAGGGCTATCTCGCCGCCGTATTATTCTCAATGCGTGGCTGGGGCGTAAAGAAAGATATACAGGCTAGCTTTTCAGCTGAGGGATGTGGTGTAACTTGTATGTTTTGTTAGGTTCAGGGCTTCCCCAAGACATTGGCTACGCCCTTCTCATGATATTGAATATAGCACTTGGGCATCGAGCTTGCAGAATAATATGCATCGTCATCGCTTGCATTGCAAACACGCCCGTGTTATGAAGTCTTGGTGCCGGAAGACTTGAGCTTCGCTGTTTCTTTGACAACTCTTTTCCAAGTGGAGGGCTTCATGGAAGATCTTTGGTCATAGTGATCTGGGTCATTTTCTCTTGCAGCTGTTGTGCATCAAGAAGCTCTTTCCTTGGATACTGTAAGCAGGGCTTCATCGAATGGCAAGCTCGATATGAAGAGGGTCACCTGTCATATCTCGTCATTCTAGCATCCTCGTTAACTCCTCATTCGTTCGCTAGCTTTTTTGTGTGATGGTCACAGTCAACTCGGGGAATCCGTTTGTGTTACCACAAGATCTCGGTTCTGGAGATACCAATTCCGCAGGAAAACTCAGGTATCCCTTGACTTCGACAGTACATCGATGAAGAGGTGCGTCGAAGTGTAAAATCTGTGACATCTCACCCTAGATATCCAATCCCCGACATATCTGCTTCCAGAAAACGAGAATCTTCATCTCAGCTCCTCTTGTCAGACGCTGTCGATCATCCCTGTGCTCTTTCTTTCTCACTGGTCCATTGGAAGCTCTTCCATCAAGATGGCTTTGATGATGTTAAAATTCCTCTTGACGGTAGCTGCTGGATTAACAGCGGCTCAAGATCAGAGTGCGAATGGAGGGCATACACTGCCACGACTTGCGACATACGTGGATCAGATTCGAGCCACTGTCCTTGATTCAGTCCCTCCTCCGTCTGACGACGGCGCATTTCAGGTATGCTGTTACGTTCCATCGATTGGACCAAGGACGTGGCCAGTGTGCTAAGAAAAGTCAGGTCTTCGTCCCCCCTGGAACTACACTGCAAAAACTTCTCGACAAGCCATTCCACTTCTATGATCCGGAGTTTTACACGGTCACTGGGCCCAATCCAACACTGACCCTGCTGAACCATACAAACGGTGACCTCCTGTTTCACGAGGCACCAGTGTGGTATGTTCTCAGCTCGCATGATCAAATTCAAAGTCCCAAAGACTTAACCCCCCTCGCTCAGGTTTCCGGAAACAGATGAGATGTTTTTTTCACAGAATGCAGGTGCCCCTGCTGCCGGTACAGGCCTCAACAAGTCAGCAATACTTCTTAAGATTTCACTTTCTTCGATCACCCCAGAGATCACTCAGAAGAGAAATGCGAGCGGCTCAGTTTTTATAGAGGTTGTGGATTCAGACCCGCAGGTCATTAACCCCAATGGTAGGTTCCATGCTTTGTTGTTGTCCTGATCTTGAGCTGAACATATTCTGCGACAGGAGGCACCAATTACAAGGACCAACTACTCTTCCTCGGCGAGGGGCAAGGAGAGGCCATTACTCCGGCTATATACCTAATGAATCCTAGGCCACCATACAACACCACAGGTAAGCGAATCACATTGACGAGCCTTAACCGAAGAAGGAACTCACCACAACTAGTCATCCTCAACAACTTTTTTGGCCGGCAGTTCAATTCTCTCAACGACGTCTCTATCAATCCTCGCAATGGTGATATCTATTTCACTGACCCCACGTACGGCTACCTTCAGGATTTCCGACCTCCTCCCGGGCTGCCAAAGCAAGTGTATCGCTTTAGCCCTGACAGAGGAGCTGTTGCAGCAGTGGCCGATGGGTTCTCTCAGCCAAATGGTGAAAACTATACCGACGTTTGTCAACCGTGGTTGCTTGCTCTGATTCTTACTGTGTGCTCTAGGCATAGTCTTCTCCCCTGACGGAGCTTACGCTTATGTCACCGATACAGGAATGGTCCAGGCCTTTTATGGAGTCATTCTCGACAACCCCGCCACCATGTACGTTAGTGCCTCTCCAATCTAGCTTGTTGTGGTGCTGACACTGGAACTTTGAAGTTACCGCTTCGATGTCAAGGAAGACGGCAGTTTCGATAACCGCAAGGTATTCGCTTATGTCAGTCCAGGTATCCCTGATGGAATCCATGTTGACACGAATGGCAACGTGTACACGGGATGTGGTGATGGCGTGCAAGTTTTCAACCGGTTCGGCACCCTCATCGGCAAGATATTCATTGGACACACGGCAGCAAACTTTCAGTTTGCAGGGAAGGGACGAATGGTAATTCTGGCGGGAACAGAGCTGTACTACGCGACACTGGCCGCCGAAGGGGCATTCCCTGGCCAGCTTTATCAGTATACCTCTGATTAATGTAACGATTACTGGATCGAGAAAGGTGGAAGGTGCAATCACATATAATGATATCGCAGTGGTCTTGGCTCGATGAGGTTTCATAACCTTTTCTTCCAGAGAGACAAGATGGGCCCATCCTACAGCAGATGGTACTTCATAGACTAGTCGATGCTTGCATGTTAGGAGCTATCTTGACTCTCTAATCCTACAAAAAGTTCACTCATCACTGTTTGAATCCCTCCTGATCGCCTTCCTATACATCTCCACATAGTCGTAGTCCACGCCATAAAAGTACCAGTTTTCATATGGCTCCAGAATATTCCAATATATTGCTTTATAGAAGCGCTCATTCTTAAGCAAAAGAGTGTCCGGGAGGGGTTTGTGCCAGCTCGCTTTGTGATCCTCAAGCATGGTCAATTCGCCGTTGAGTTTTTCGATCATCTTGAGCTGGCGGTGCCATTCGTAGGATTTTAAGAGTGACAACGAAGCGTAAACACAGGGAACAAAAGAAAGGGAGAGAATTACGTAGTAGAGATAGTAGAGTGTCTGAAACTGCTGTTTGGAGCTCGAAAAGAAGGAAATAGAGCTGGACTCAAGCTCCGGGGTATGAGATGGGTTGATGTAGTAGGTGAGAATTAGTAAGAGATGAAAGGCAATGAGGGGGCTTTGAATGACGGTTTGTCAGTGTCGAATTGTATAGGCACGGACAAATATCAAAGGTTACGACATACGGCAGGATATGAAGCAACCACAGCCTCTTAGTCAATTTCCCAACTTGCTCAGCAAACGCCTGGGTAAGCCGTCTGAGGAGACGGACGTCGCGGTAGATCGTTTCCAAGTATCGTGACTTATGATTCTGTCGATGGTAAGTCTCGTGTTGCACCAGGATTGATTTCCGGATCTCCCAGGGTTTGAAGTCGGGTTCCTCAAAGTAGATGATCACATTGTCGGGAGGGACGGTGGAGCTGAAGTGCGGCCTGTAGCGGATTACGGGTGCTGGAGAGTAGGGCATTGTCAGGGAGGGTGTTGTTAGGGAGCTTGAGGTAGATTGTTCGAAGGACTATTGCCTGAATCCAGGGGAGGAAATGCGAGTGGTAAAGTTTGAGGGATGTATGTTTGTTTGGGCAGAAGCGATGACGAAAGTTACATAGCTGGGCATATTTACAGCTAGAAGCTTCAGGGTTGGCGTTGTCAATGTTGGAAGAGACAAAGAAACAAGCCTTGTGTCTGAACCAAATGCGGCAGAATGGGCTTGGGAACAAAGAAATGTTGCCTGGGAGAGAAACAGGACTGGTCTCATGGCAGCTTGAGGCAATGCTGATGGAAACATCACGGGGAGAACATAATCACTAAACATAGTTTGTCCTATAGTATGCTAACTGGACCGTCTGATGATCAATTCTTTGAGTTGGATACTGTATGAGAGTGTGAGGCAGAGAAAAAAGGGGCTTCATGATCCGGGGGGCAACAGAAGAATGCGATTAGGGTTAGGGTTCAGCTCTTGCCCAGGCTTGCTTCGGGTTAGGGTTTATATTAGTGCTAGTACTCTGGTTAAAACAGGTTGCAGTCCTGGAAATTTTGATCCTGGACATATCCGATTCTCTTCTAAGTTATGACAAACAACTAGCAAAGAGGCTTGTTCCAAACCCCCATTCTTTTCATTCTGTCACCGACTCTTCGTGAAATTTCCTTGGGCCCGACCCAACAGGGGCCCTTGTCTTCCCTGGAAAGGAATAAAAAGCTTAGCTCTCGCCCCACCACTAAACGGTCCATTTTGCCCATGAAAGGCTCCACCGCAAGGTCCACCGCTCTAACGTCGCCGGCTTCTTGCTGAGAGAAAAGCTTCAGAACCCGACAATCACAACCACCACTACTAAGGGTGCGTCCTGCGCAACAGACTGCCAAGAAATGCATGACTAAACAAAGCAACGCAATACCAGTATCTGCATCAGAGTCTATGACGGGACTCAAGCGCGTCCGTCGCCCGGCTGCCGCCGACGACAAGGACGACCGACCCCGCGACAACAATGACGCCGACAGCGACAGCGACACCAACCATCACCCAGGGCCCAGCACCAAGCGCCGCAAACTGACCGCCTTCGACTCCGACTCCGCCCCAGCAAATCCCTCTTCCGTCTCGGCCCCCGTCACCGCCGGAACCGTGTCCATAAAACACACACCCTATCCTAATTCCACACCGCCTTCCCGTACCGGGGCCGACCTTCTTTCCCCTCTGTCTGACGAGCTCCTTCTGCGCATTCTTTCACACCTGTCGCTGCCCCACTTGCTCGCCGTGGCGCCTGTATCAAGGAGGTTCTATCGCTTGGCGTCGGACTCACAGCTGTGGAAGGCGCTGTATTACGAGAGGTTTGTTTTGCCAAGGGTGATGAGGATACCGGGGTTTAGGGATGGGATGAGTACTGGGAAGGAAGGGGCAGGCAGGTTAAGGTTTCATCATGCTGGGAGGAAGATGTTGTGGGTTGATGGGAGGAGGAAGGAACAAAGGGAGGATGAAGAAGAGGAGTATAGGCCTGTGGATTGGAAGAGGCAGTATAAGATAAGATACAATTGGGCTAGGGGGAAATGTGCGGTTGAGGAATTGAAGTTGAGCGGGGAGCTGGCGATAGACGATGAAGAGGAGGGGAGGAGGATGCTGGTTAAGGTAGTAGAGGGCCTTGCCGTTACTGCTGATAGGGTCGAGGGGTTGCGAGCTTGGGATCTTAAGACGCGGAGTTTGATCGCCCAAATTGAGGTTGTGGATGGGAACGAGAGGACTGCCCCGAGTGCCATTGCTGTTGACGACTCGGAGCATCACAAGGGAATCCTCGATGTGGCATTGGGGTTCACTGACGGCAGCTTTGGGGTGTGGAGGTTGACTACGAAGGACAGGAAACTTGCGTTGCGGTATCGGCATGCCAAGTCGAGCAATGGAGAGCTGATCGCAATGAGTTTTCTGTACCCCTATCTGTTGACGGCCACGCGGGCAGTCTTGATCTCACTCTACACTTTTGAGGTTCCAATCACCGTCGAGACGGGCCAAGAGTGTCATCCACCACGACATACAGTCATGAAAGGTCCTACGGAGGAGGACACACAGCTTCCAGCCCCCTATCTCCTGACGTCCTTGGACTCACATACTTCACGGCCTCCGTTGGCTTTATCTATCCGTAGGGCGGCAGGCATTACGATTGCCTCCGTGGCCTACACGTTTTCTACACGACGGGGATGGTCCATTGGCATCCAGGATCTTCACATTCAGCAGGTATCTAAGGGGCTCAAGTCGTCCCCTGAAATTACAACAACCCGGCTTGCTTTCACAACACCAGTCGAGGCAAGCCCTTACACGACCTCATCATCCTCTCCTCGCACCCACAGCAGCCCGTCCTCTTCGTCGGCTACTCATTCCGAGTCCGAACCGGGTCCCCTAACTCTATGCTACACCCATCCATATCTGCTCGCAACCCTCCCCGACAACACCCTCGTGCTGCACTTGTGTACATCGACAGCCACGTCCCTCACCCTTTCAGACGGCATACGTCTCTGGGGCCATACCTCAGGCATTAGTGACGCAGAGATTACGGCTCGAGGGAAGGCTGTCAGTGTTAGTACAAGGGGAGAGGAGATGAGAGTTTGGGAGCTGGAAGGACGGTCACTGTCTGGCAGCAAGAGTGTAGAGGTTCGGCCTTGGCAAGATTCTTCTGATAATGGACGCAGGGCGCTTGCAGGGGAAGGCTTAAATGCAGGGGATCCAGCTCGGGATTGGGACGAGAGGCGCAATTGGGTCGGATTTGACGATGAGATGGTCATCGTGCTGAAGGAGAGGAAAGGAGGAAGACAGAGCCTCATGGTGTACGATTTCACTTGAGGCTGTGTGGCAAGGCAGCATGTTAGATTCCGAAGAACTGCACTTCATTAATCAGACAGCCCTGGGGGTTTCTCGCCGAGTGGTTCTAGGAGCTTATCTCCCCGAGCTGTCAGCCTGTCCGGATGTGCCGGAAGGCTGACAACATACACCACTCTGCAAGGCATCGCATCTGCGCAGCCCCCCCCCCCCGATGACGCCATCTATACCACGGAGATGACTTCTCGTGTCCGGTGAGCGCACAAGGTGTGCAACTTACGATACACGAGGTTCGAAGCCTCTCGGCTGTCCGAACAACGCCGCAAAGTGCGAGGGTCTAGGCAGAACCATTGGCTTGGAGTCTTTCCCGTTGGTGAAAGTCCAAGGCAGCACCATTGATTCGGGTTTTGATTAGTCGAAAACGCTCAGAGTGAATTCAGGTGTCGGTCAATCTGACTGAGCTCTATGCTGGTGGGCTGCCTGGCCTGGGACACGGGATGAAGGTCTGGGGAAGCGACTGGTTTATTCAACCAACTTCCTGTCAGCCTCAATATGATATCAGCTGCTTGCCTACCTCGATGGAGGACAAAGAAGCTGAATGGCCCATTGGCCAGACCGGGTCATTTGACTTATGTCAAGGCTCCAGGGACCTTTCTCAAGAAGTGGAGGGCAACGAGCAGTTGTCGATTCGGTCAACGTTATTGATGCAACACCCACAGCCATTTAACTCAATACACCTTCCAGAATTCTCCTTGAAAGTTCTCCTTGCGCTACCACTGCAGCCGCAGCTGCACAACAGCAATTTAAGTCAAGGCAGATCTTGAATCAATGGGTTTGATTGCCTTAGTTTCATCAGGTGATTCTCCACGATTGGAAGGCCCCGTTTCTGGCCTCTGTTGGGGAGCAAAGTTATGCATCGCCACTTAAACTTCCTGCAGTGTGGCTATCAATTGGGCTTTTGCTCCGGTTTGTTTTTTCTACACCTCTGAAAGCATGTGGTGTACATTATGGCACACTGGGACAGCAGACCGAGCTGGGAGAGGCATTAGGTAGGTCCTAACAGACAAGAGGCGGAAGAAACAAAGCAAGCATTGCGAGGTCAAGCTTCAGCTTCAGCTATAGCGTTACCTGGATGGACCATACGCGTCTGTGCTAGGGCTTAGCAATTGGTATTGAAACCCTTGTTCAGCCCTACATTCCTCTTCTCACAAACTCTGGTTACTGAAGATATGGTCTACGTGACCATCACACACAGAATCACAATCAGTTCACATGTCTGGTGACAATTCTGGCCCATAACTTGTAAATCAAGGCACGCAATCACTGATGATCATCGATCTCGCAAAGGTTTGGCTGCCTGTTTGACGCATTTCCATATCTGGACCTCGTGTCTCTATCGCACAAACTTTTACTGGTCAATCCCACACAGCCCAGATGCCCATATGACGAAAATGACTCCTTTTTTTCCTTGTCATCCCAGGTGAAACACATCACCAGGACAGCCTGTCGCCGTGTATGATCACTGTAATCACCTACCGATGTGAAGCCTTCCTATGTACATTTGGTCCCCCACTCTAGGGTTCAAGACCAATGTCCCGCTAAGAAGAATCACTGGCAGGCTCGGCAAGCGACGACAAGACTTGCAAGAGGAGGGGTCAGTGGGGGTCAGGTGACAAAGTGACAAATGCTTCATTGATAAACTTTAAAACAGTGTTTCTTTTCATGTCCAGGCTAGGCTCCCCGGTGAGACTAACGAAGCAAGTGGCGGTGCCGTATCTTTCGCTTCGCTGCCTTGCGGTGTTGCTGGTCGGGGCATCCTGGCTGGGCTATGAGTATGGTCAGATGAGCCATGCTTGTCATTGATGAAACATGAGAATGGGATGATGAATGGGAGGGGAAGGACCTGGGAAAATGCGAAGATGGGAAGGGTCGTGTGATGCATTCACGGCTTGGAAGAGAACAAAGCGGAGTCTTGTGAATGGGTTCTAAACCTGGAACTGGGTGGTTAGATATACGGACAGTACTGCAGTGATGAAGACATAGTGTGTTGTAGGGCAAAGTGTTGATGCAAGAGATCGCACTTTGCGGCAATGCACGTTTTCGTATTGCATGAGCATCACAATCACACGTTAAGAGCCGTGTGTGTTTAAGCTTTAGGTTGGGTTTACCCCATTGCGCGCGCGAAAGATGCGGTCTTGTGAAACGGAAGGATGCAAATCTGGGGTTGGGGTTGGCGGAGGCCCGGAGGGCTTGCCGTGCTTGACGCTTGTGGGCGCTGGAACAGGGGGATGGAGGGGGATGGAGGGGATGCCGGCAGCCAGCCCGCCACAAACCACAAGGGTATCTTGGGGGACGCGCTCTCTGAGGCCGCCTTGTCTCTCCAAAAAAAAAAAGAAGAAAGGTGAACTGGCCAGATTTATCCAATTGAAGTGCAGTTTCTATATTATTGATGAAGCTATGCAGACGCATACGCACGCATGCTGGCACAGCATTCAACTACGGTTGATTCAAATTGGGGCAGGCAGATCAATTGGTCTTCCCAGATTTGTTGGTGATTTGTTGGTGTACATATCGGCATCTTTGTTGCCATTGTGGACCTCACTTCGTCAATACCCTGCGATCCTCAGGATTGGCACCTGCCTGCCGTTCCGTCCGTGCAATTCTGTTTTTCTGGCTGTGGCCATCCTGCACCGCCAGTCATGCTGCAGGGACCAACAAGGTTTGAGGTAGCACCTTATCCACCACCCAATGTCTCCATGGAAGCGGTGAATCGGATCCAAGCAACGTTTAGGGCTGCCCATGATAATTGGATCTAGACAAACAGGGCTTCGTTTCTGTGACCCCTTTTCGACGATCAGGGATATGTAATTGGTCATTGGTTTGGGGACATCGCCCTGGGCCGCACTGAGCTCATGTACTGGCTGTCTGCTTGTCCGCGGCACCGATTAAAGCCCATTCGACGAGGGCCAGCTTTCTGCCGCCTAGCAGTATTTGTCCATGTCGTGGCCGATCACTGTTCGCCAAGGAATCGCTTTAACAACTTTGTTAGTCGATCATCAATGGACCACAATCTCATAGATCTAATGACGGGGCGAACAACAGAGCGGCACAACAACATGTTGTGGCCAGCCAATTTTCCAATCAAACTTTCACACAGTCATGCCATATACAGAATTGACCTTTGCTAGAGGCCTTAAGGAATGACATGGCAAAGCACACTGTCCTGGTGCAGACATTAGCGCCAAGTTGGTGGGTTAGACGGCTTAGAAGGGACGTTTTTGGCGTGGTGATCGCTCAGCCTGGCCTATCATTGGCCTTGGTCACGCTCTATCCATTGGCGAATCAGCGTTAGACTCTGGCCCAACCCCCTCCTCTCTAAGGGCTGAGATGGCGGGCACACACTGATTCGCCATCGTCAGCCGTAATGGCGCTTTATCAGCCAAAATTCCTGGGGAAAGGCTCTGATGTCTATCATCGAACCAAGAGAGGCGTGTAACAATTGCTACTGCTCGGCTTGACCGCTGCCTCAATGCTTCGCTTTGCTGCTGCTATGAACCGAGAACGGAAGGAGGGGAAAGAGAGGGGCAGGAATGTAGCCCCTCCTCCAGATGGAGGGGTGATAAGATAAGAAGCTGCATGACGGTCGATGTGACCGATGGTATGATGGTCTGGTGGTGGCCGTCTGGTAAGAGGGATTCAGTCTCTTGTCTCTGCCTGCTGCCGTGTGGCATGGACATGGCATGTGAAAGATGAAGATGGGAGCAGTCTTTTGTTTTGCTAATAGTAATCCCGAGCAATGAGTTTCTGTGGGGTGCCATCTCGTGTCATGTGGGCTGCTCCTCGTGTACTCGTGCGCAATTACCTGAAGTACCTTGCGTAGCAGACTAGACACATCTTGTTTCGTGTGGGGAACAGAGAGCTGCCATGTCCAACGGCTTTGAAGAGAAGGAATTCAGGAATCGGATGCAGTTTTCGTTTGGCTGGTCGAGTTGTCAGACACACACACACACACACTCACTCACACACTCACACAATCGATATATAGGTCCTAAATCCGGCATCTGACCATTCCTTGCGCCACACCCACCTTCTTCCAGGCAGCCGATGGATGACGCGGCTGCCCTGTTGCCAGTTTCGAAAAAGAGGTTGATAACTACAGAATTTGCTGGTAAATCCAAAGAGCGAGACTCGAAAGTTGGAGACTTTTTCAGAGAACGTGTCCTTTTGCTTCCAAACTTTATCCCAGCTGTGTGTAATGATGCCAACAAATCCGGATCATTATGCTGACATCATCAGCAAGACCCTGATGGCAAAGCAAAGAGTATGTCTCAGGCTTCAACATCAACACCTCCGAACAACTCGAATTGGACACTGGAGTGTGGGAATAGTTGGAGAAATACTTAAGGTACCTACCACCCGGTGCGAGCGATATGGACGAGGTACTTCCGGTTGGTGCTCTTATCAGACTATCGATAAGAGAAATAAAACCGAGACCTAACCAAGAAGGGTAAGCGGTGTGTTTCGGGTTGGTGTGTCTCAGCCAACCAACGAGCTGCGTCTGCGCACTGGGTACCAACACCAAGCTTTCTCACCAGCCATGTTGCGCCAATCCTGGAATTCCATGGCCATTTGCGACGATGAGTCACACACTTTTGACACGCCGGCATGGCGAGTGCCGCGCCCCAGACCAATGATGCGAAAGTCGCGGCATGAAACGGACCGTTCATAGTCTTCCGTCATTTATCGAGAGCCGTACGCTGATTGGTCAATTCGCTAGGGCTTTCTTGTGGCTCGTAACACGTTCCACGCCTGCACAAGTTCCCGCAGGAAATGGGCGAGGGGCGAGGCCGCTGGGGTCACGGTTCATGGCTATCGGTATTCCGTTTCAGCTTCATCGTTCGTCACTTACAGTCTGGCACTGTGGCCAGCCCAGTGCGGCAAACAACGATGGCTACTGCTGCTGCTGCTGGTGGCCTCAATGGCTGATGCCATTGACAACAACACAACAGCAAGCATTGCGGCCGAAAAATAATGCTGCGATATTCGTGATGAGCTGTCTCGCGGGCAACAGCTCTGAACACCAACTCGCCCCATCGCAATCTGTCTCAGATGCCCAGCATCCGACTTTAGATGCCCAAACGGAGCCCAATTGAAACTCAATTCGTCAACGACAGCTCCCACGCTGCTCGCGGGACGCAGCTCAGCATAAAGCTCCACCCGCCAGACGAGCAGTCCCTCTTCGCCCCTCCTTTCCCCTCCTTTCCCCTCTTCTTGCGTCCCTCGCTCTCTCCTCAGATTCGACGTCGGGATGTCGTCAGAAGCAAGGAGAAGGCGTGTGTGTTGTTAACTGACACAACGAGCTAGGCGAAAACACATTGCCATTGTTTGCTGCTGCTATGTGCTGCCAACCATGCGTGGCCCATCGAGTGCAAAGCATTGCCGAGCATCAGATCTCGGCCTGTCTCGACCGGGACTGGAATTACTTCTTCCACGAGGCGAGGGGCCCGGCATATCCTGCCACTTGTCGACATGACAACGAATCGTGATGGTACAAGCAGCAGATGAAGCGTCTGACAAGATGGGACAATAGATTGAGCCCAGTGGATGAGAACAATCGGTCGATTGCACATTGCCTCTTCGCCTCACAAGCTGAATGGGTCATCAACAATTCCTATCATCAGCAGCTCTCAACTGCAGTTGATTTGGATCCTTTGACGCGGAGGCTCTGCGGATTCCCTAAGCCGGCTTTACTCCGTTGTAGGCGGAGCGGGATGATACCGGGATGTTGATTCCACTCTTTCACCGCCATCTTCGTTCTCACTTGGACTTAAGCCGTTTTGGCATTGGCAATCTGCTCGTCATGGTGCAGAAAGGGTATTGTCCACGCAAGTGTGGGTTGCAAAGCTGAGAAGTGTGGATGATGGTGATCGAAGTCCGCCTCCTCAGAGCGGTGTTCCCTTGCCCATTGAGTGTGTTTCGGCCGTCCGATGCCCGTCCCGATAGCAACAGCTTGACAACGGAGTGTGCAAATATGAGTATCGGTGTCGACGCAGACAAATGCCCTCCTCTCGACCGAACCAACCCAACACTGCGCAGTGCCTACAGCAGGATACAGCAGATACGGGCAGTGAGGAGACGATGATGGCGCCAGAAAGAGCCAAGCAGCATGCCCAGTAAGCCGTAGAAGGTGAAGATGGGTTATGGATATTTGCGGCTACTCCCGCTGGAAGCGCCAGAAAGTTGACGATCTCGCAGATGCAGGTCTGCAACGGTCAAAGGGGCCATTGGGAAGGCGATCCAGGTTGCCAGCAAGCATCCAAGTCAGCACTTAAAGCTTGTTGGCTCTCCAACACGGTTTGCGAGCGGGCCGACCCAGGACGGCTTTGGTCTCTCTGTGGCCAGTGAGACCTGCCTACCTACATCATAGGCAAACAGTAGTACACCACACTACATACAGGAAAAACAACAGCCATTGATGCTGTAGCAAAGGCTGATGCTCTGATAATCTGATATTGCTCCTCAAAAGACCCTCCTGGACTTAGGTACCCCCCCCCTCTCTTTGGGCAGGAGTACAGTACACACGGTGCTCATCAGTTGCGTCTCGTGCCCGACATGGAGACTATTTTTGCCTGACGGATCCAGGATCACAGGAGCAAGTGACTAGATTGGCTCAGGCTTGTTTGCATGTCGGACGGTTCAGTATGATTGATGGTGATTGGTGAATCCGCGTGAGGGGAGCCTGACGCCCGGAGGGGCGGGGGCAGAGGGGGAGATGGAGGGGTGTGGCGCTGGGCGTGCTAACGCCCTACTCATGGTCATCCCGACTAGTCACCCACCCCTCCCCCCCAAGAGTTCGATGCGTCCTGTCAGCCACGCCACTCCACTCCACACACGCCCCTCTCTGCTCTGATGCCCACTGGTCGGGCCAACCCCAGAATGCGGATCCCATTTCAGCATCCTGGAGCTTGCATCCTCTGAGGGCTCGTGGCACCCCTCCGTAAACTAAACCATACACTTTAATACGTATTGTTTGCGATGCTTGCCTACGCCATTAGCATACGCAGTTAGACGCGTTCTGCCCTGGCGATAGCATCAATATGGCAACCAGCACATCAGCACTGTCGCAGAACTCTCGATGTCTGATGTCTGCTGCCTGCCCCGATCCCTGGGCGCTATTGACTCAGCCAGCCCATCCGCCAAAACGGCAGATCTAGCCCTGCGTTCCTGTGCTGCTTGGCTGCCCGGTTCTACGACGGTATGTAGCAATGGGCGTGCAGCGAGCGTGCTCGCCAGGCACGATAGCAGTATTTAAACTGTGTTGTGGGTACAGTAAGTACAGTATCCGTGGATTGGGATGGGCGATGGATGGGGCATGGTCATGGAGATGTGGATGGAGATGTGGATAGAGATGCGGATGAGACTAGCCATCAACACAACTTAACACACACACACATACACACGCACACACGCACACACGCACACACGCACACACGCGCACACACACAACCACACACCTGGGCGCACGCATGGCTAGGGGGTGTGGCCCATGGGATGGCCGCCATGCGGTACAGCTTCCGTCGGTTTAGGTAGGCAGGTAGGCAGGACAGGGCAGGGTAGGCAGGCGTTAACGGCATAGACGGAGCGCGAAGCGGGTTACGGATTAGTACTTACAGCCCGGTAATCCCCCGATCTGTCTATCTTGCCTGGTCCATTCCATCCTTCGTCATCATTCATCTGCTCTGCATCCCCCATCGATCTCTCTACCCATCTGTCTTCTGCTCGCATCTCGCTGTCCTGTCCTGCTGCATTGTACCCTGTGTTCCCTTGTGGGTTAAGGGTCAAGGGTCAAGGGTCACTTGAGGATCAGGTCTTTGTCTTGTTCGGCACCAAGCATCAGCATCACGGATCAAGCGTCACGCATCACGCATCACGCATATCAAGTACCAAGCACCAAGCACCAAGCAAGTAGCTTGTGTTCGGTCTCATCTCGTCTTTTGGGTTCCAGGTCCAGGTTCCCTCGGTAGCAGCTCTTCGCCACTCCGACGCTTTCCAGCCGATTCCATTGACGGCCCATTACCAAGCAAGGCCCGCCTACCGGCTACGTTGCCCTCGCCCCATGGAATTGATCCATTGATATCCGTTTGATCTGGATAGATGAATACCGACGCCTGATTGTGCCCCCATTGACTCGTATTCATCACACCGGACTCCATTGGGCCATTGATATCATCTCTCCCATCTTCCATATTATCTCTTTGTCTCCCCCGTCTGCTCACTTACCACTTATACACTTACTCACTGCGATCAACTTTATCTGCTTGGCAACAGATAACGAAACAAAGGAGCGACCGTTCAGCTGAAACGTTCTCGGACTGCACAACGCTCTTTGTTACCTTACCTTTCTCTGGGGAGTCAGATTGCCAACCACCACAAGTCACAAGTCACCTGCTCTTTTCTCCACGCTCCCACGCAATCATTTACCAGCCATTGAACACTGTTGCTCCTGGCTGGAAGGTCAACGACTCTTGCTGCTTCTCTTGACAGTCTGATCGAGGCTCAGGTCACCATCGCCACACCGAATTGCTTGCCATCGCATCGGTTGATGACGGGCTTGACTCCTCGCCACCTGATCTTGGTTATTCGAAAGCAAACAGCTATCAGTCATCTAAGGTAGATGGCTGACAAACCCAGACTTACGCCCACGCCTGTTTCTGCAATGCAACAAGCCGTGTCCGTGTCGCGTGAGAGGGCCCAGACACCGACGCCGAGATTGGAAGCCTGGCCTGACTGTTCGTCTCCCCCTCACAATCTCCTTCCTACACCTACTAGAGAAACCAGAGAAATGCACGAGAACTGCGGCCTTGCTCGGTCGTCTGACGTGCTCTCATCGAAGCCTCTCAGCAGGCCGGTAAAGCCCTGCGATATCAGTAATCTCATGTCTCCCCCCGAGCCAGCCCCACTCGATATGTGCACCAGCAGGCCGTCGGCTGCTGCGAGCGACAAGGCCAGCACTCCGCCCGCCGATACGCGGGTGCCGCTATCGCCGCCTGTGTCGCCCTTCTCGAAGCCATCGAACTCCATCAACCCGGTGCCTGCTACGCACAATTTCGCGGTCAAGGACCCTATTCTCTACCCTGCTACCGAGCCGCTGCCCCCTACGACCCCTGGCTCGCTGTTTAGGCCTGCGTCGGCATGGGGGTCTTCTCGCGATTACAGCAGAAGGACTGCTGTATCCGAGACCGAGCAGCGCGTGATCAATGAGCACATTGCGTCGCGCCCGGCAGACCTCTTCCGCAACTCGACGCCACCCAAGCGCGAGGACTACGAGCTAGCCCTCTACTTCAAGTCTAACTGCCTCCGAATGTTCCAGAAGGACCCTGCAGGTTGGCTGCGCCAGGAACGTCAGCTGCTGCGGGCCGACCGGAAGCATACTGCCTGGTCCAACACCCTTTCATCATCGAGGCCGCATCAACAAGTCCTTGCGCCAAAGCCTGTTACTTCATCCGTGCTTGCTCCCGACACGACCTCGGCCAAGGTCCCGCCTGTGCGTGTGCATAAGCCTAGAGCCGCCCGTCCAAAGACTGGTCCTACTCCCAGGCCCATTCGAGCTACTCCGACTCCATCTTCTCGTCACGATACCATTCATGTCGGGGCGACATCCCCGGAACAGCAGCCGCGTGTCCGTACTGTGGCGCCGAACCGCGAAGACAAGGATTTCGAGGCTCTTGAGGATCTGTCCCCGCCTCTCAGCTCGCTTCCACCTAAGCCAAATTGCCTGAAGGTCGATTGGAAGGGCAACGCGCTTGACTTGAGCAACGACCCTCATCGGCACTTGCTTCATCCCGACGAGCTCAGCCTGGCGAGCAGCCTGCGGCTCGACTGCGCTACGTACCTCACCAGCAAGAGGAGGATCTTCCTCAGGAGATTGGAGTGCGCGCGAATTGGCAAGGAGTTCCGCAAGACGGATGCACAGCAGGCGTGCAAGATTGATGTTAACAAGGCGTCGAAGCTGTGGCAGGCTTTTGAGAAAGTGGGGTGGTTGGATATTAAGTGGATGAAGCCTTATTTGGAGAGGAGTTGATTGGTTATCATCATCGTCTTGACAGTTTTTTTCATTTTTTTTTTGGCTCATTACGGCTCAGTTTCGGTTGGGTGTTCTTCCTTAGGGATTGGGCTCTCGCTTACTCTCACCGCTTCGCATCTTCGTTACGGCACATTGTCATGGTTGGGTCATTTTATGATTCTCGCACCACATCATGATCATCATATGATACCCCCGAGCAGCCGAGACAATCCGGCCAGCTCATTTCCCTGATATGGCAATTTTTTTGATTTACTCTCCTCTCTGACATGTCCCCTACTTCGCTACATTCAGCATTGCATTGCATTATTTTAACCGACGGAAGGACGGGTTGGTTGGTTATACGGAAGGTCAAGTCACAGGCAGGTATTGTGGCTTTGAATGAGATTGGGTATTGTATTTTTTTTTTTTCATTAGGGCTGGACTGTTTACTACCCTTTTCGTACTACTCTGCACGCTTGCATTTTTGTCGGCGTTATCAGGTTGTGTTAAGGCAGGGATTTGATTATCATGCTTTTTTTTCGGTCACGGAGTTCATCTCCAGAGGAGAGAGGGGAGATTTTGAGCCATTGATGGCTTATACTCCATTCAAGCCGTACATTAGCACATTTCCTTTGTCGTGTCAGCGAGATGATACATTCCTTGGAATGCGAGATTACTTGACACTGGTTGGTATCGTATTGCTTGTCGGAGCTGATAAGGGAAGCGAAGGCGGGGCTAATATACCCCGTCTCCTTTGTGCCTTGCACTCTCGTGGCCGGTGTTTTGGTACATATCGTGACCATTGCCAACTTCCAGGACCATCCGGAGATGCTACTCCAACCCTTCGCGTTAGCGTAACCGTCTCCGTACCGAGCTCCCGGATCGGCGACCGACCGGGGTGGGTCTCCCGTCTTAGCCGCCCTCGCCCTATCCGCTCTCCGGGATCGCAGCAGGCAGCAAGGGACAAGGGGTTGCGACCGCAGCGAAGTTTCGCATGTGGCTGCCGTCCTGCGAGGTGATGTCATCGGTTCAGGGTTCTGGGCTCGGCGAGCCTCGGGACTTGGCTCGGAAATCGGAGGTTCCACTGCCGATGCCGATGGCGCCGGGCCCACTTTGTAGGGCACATTTTAAGGAACTTGCATGCATTATGAGGGACGGTAGGAACGGTAGGGACGGGACGATATATGCAAGATATCGGCGGAATCAACTCCAAGAGTAAAAAAAAAATAATGGAATCTCTAGCATTGTATTCATTTACCTGCGTCTAAATTACTGCCCCATCGCTAGCGCATATCCCCCATCCACAACCACAATTTGCCCGCTCACATACTGATTCACCACCAGCCCCAGCACCGCCTGCGCCATGTCAATATCCCTCCCTGGCCGTCCCGCAGGCACCTTCTTCTCATACTTACCTTTCTCCAAATGACTCTTCTGGAACTCATCGCTCTCTCCCGCAGTCATCTCACTTGGGAAAACTCCCGGCGCGATAGCATTCACCCGTATCTTGTGCCCTGCTGCGGCAATCTCCCCCGCTAACATCCTCGTCAAGTGATGGGCGGCTGCCTTCGCAGCGTTATATGCGAAATGGTGCTGCGCGAGCTTGACTATCCCGCTGATACTTCCTATGTTGACTACCGTCCCGGACCAGCCGTGATGCTTTTCCGTTGAGGCTTGTAGTAACGGTAAAAAAGCGGTCGTCATGAAGAATAAGGACACAACATCCGTCTGATAGGTCTGTAACCAGTCTTCGGCAGTCGATTTATCACTATCGAACAAATTCCTTTTCATCTCCTCTGCCGTCGAGCTCTCGGGCTGCACCGTCTGGCTAGTGATACCCGCATTGTTAACTAGGATGCAGAGGTGCCCCTCTCGGTGGGTGATTTCATCTGCTAGGCGGCGGACGTCGTCTTTGGAGGAAACATCGGCCGCGGGAAGGGCAATAATTTCCCCTTCGATGTCCCGGTTGTAGATGGAGACGACGCGGTCCAGCTTGGATTGTGTGCGGCCGACGATGTAGACTTTTGCGCCGTTCACAGCGAGGGTTTGGGTTATCATTAGGCCGATGCCGGAACCGCCACCTAAGTGTGTTATTGTCGGTTACGATGGAAAGGGAGGGAAAGGGGTTGGGGATGTGTTTTGGGCGCCGGGGGGGGGGGGAAGGGAAGGAGAGAGGAAAAGAGGAGTGTAGAGGAAACATGCCTGTTACCAAAGCGACTCGGCCTTTGAGGTTGAAGAGGGAGTTGCGGTGAAGGTCCTCATGAGACGCGGCAGCTACACTTCTGGACATCTTTTTGGCGTAGAGTCGTGCTTGAACACTTGGGAAGCTTGTAAGAGGAGTCGAGGTTGGTGTAGAAATTGTAGGAAGATGTACGATGAAAGCCCGACTGGGGAGTTTGAGTAGAGAAGTTTGGGAGAGGACGCGGCAAGTTGTCAAGCTCATCTCTACATGGGCTAGTGAAGGCTTAACAGTAGTACTCTTCCCTGAACAAAGGTATGCGTAGAGGTTAATGGGCTCTTGATACCGATGGCGATCCATGACGAAAGGCACCTGATTAGTGTACCCACTTCATGACGACATGTATGACACCAGATCTCAGGGAATTCTCAGGCTTTCTGAACTCAAAGGTAATCCATGCTTGTTTAGATGCTAGTTGACAAAGGAGGGACTCGGATAAGATGCTCCGTTGAATGGAAACGGTTTGTAGAAAGGGGACTCGACGGAACTTTGAAAAGTCCCTGTTACGATGCCAAACGACAAGCAGAATGAGAAGAGAAGCCGTGAAGCTTTTGTTCAGGAATGTTATTTATTTCAGCCTGACCTGCAGGTTAGCACGCAGTCTCGCTCGTAATGCGGATGAACCTTTCTGTAATCTCTCAATGGCTGAAACATGAAAATTGTGAGAAGTGGAAGTTGTGATCAGTGTCTATGATGATAATGATGATGATGATGATGGTGACGATTGTTGCCAAAACCAGAATCAAGCTCATTTAAACCAAAATAAAAACAAAAACAATTAAAGAAAAACCAAAAAAAAAGTTAGCAACCTCCTGCATATAGAGGTGATAGCAATACCAAGTCATTTCCAATTATCCCTACAACATCCCCGATATACTCAAAAACACCCTCAAAACGCCACCTCCTCCGTCCCGCCCCGAACCATCCTCATCACCTCCCTCAATCCCTCCTCATCCTCTGCTCCAATCACAACATCCACCAGACTCTCCATCTCGCCTTCCTCCAACCTCTCTTCAAACCAGCTCAAAATTATCATCCTCCCTTCCTCCAGCATCGTTCTCCATCTCCTGAAGAAATCCACCCTCCTGAGCCCACACACTCGCATGGAAAAGCCCGCCGCACAGTTCATCCCCCTCCTGACGAAGTGTGTCCTGAGTAAGGGGAGACACATACTCCCACAGGTACGGACATTCAAGTCGACGATGACGCAGGTCCTGCCTTGCGGGTCATCATCGGGGTCAAGTTCGAGGACATCAGCACCAACAGGGCCTGTGTAAGTACAGTTGCTGGCGTTATGAATCCATCGCGCGATGCGAGACATTAGGGGCATGAACCGCTCTTGCAGGATAGATTGCCGTGTGTAATGGATTGTGCTGCCGACCCAGGAGACGCCGGAGGTGGTGCTGGTCTTGGTGGTATTCGTGCCGTGGCTTAGGGTGTTGCTCTCGTTGCTGGTGCTGCTGCTACTGGAGCTGTTGCCATCGTCGCTTAGGGAGGCTGAAAGACTTGGAGTGGAGGATTCTGTCGAGCTGGGCGAGTTTCCTGGAGTGCTTCTCGCAATCATTTGTTCTGCCGCAGCGAGGAAGACCGCTTCCCCCGTCTCCGTCACGACAAAGGTAAGCCCGTAATCTGCCTTGGGTGCAGTAATCATCTCCATCAACAATATCGCGCCAGGCGCCATATGCTCGTTCTCCCTCGTCTGTAGCGACAGCAGCTTCCTCAACAACCCATCACCCTCATTCAACCCCGGTGTATCTTCTAAATCACCCAACAACCTTCGTTTCGCCTCCTCATCCGGCACAAGCCACGTCCCAGCGCCACCCCAGCACTGCTGCGTCTTAAACACAAACGGCACTTCCCTTGCCCGCACGGCAGCAATAATCCTCTCCGTCTGCTGCGCGAGCCACTCTCCCCTCGGCCCCGAACAACCAGGCGGTATGAACGGCAGATTCGTCTGCTCCGCAATCTCCCCACACACAGCACAACAGTCCCCCGGCTCTACCCCCGGCCACCCAGGCTCCGGCTCAATTACCTCCGCCTTGGGCGTCGGCAGCCCCGACCTGGCCAGCGCAGCCTTGCTATTCAGCATCCAGTGCGTCTCCAGGGAATGCGACCGGGGGATGGCCCTCTCCAGGTCATCAAAGACAATCTTGTACTCGACCTGCTCAATGCCCTTCTCTTTCACCTTCTCAGGGAGGTCTCCGGGGCCGGTGCAAAACACCATCTCCGGCCGTTGGGTCTCGTTCAGTACGCTTAGTGTCCTCTCTGCTTCGAGGACATCCCATTTCTTTTCTTCCTCGTCCCGGCCGATATGGAACTGTACCATCAGCGCTTTCCCGGCGATGAATGCATCCCGCTGCGCGACCAGCGTTAAATGCTTCTTTGCCAGAGTCCTTTGAAATGCCGCACTCGGAGAGAGCAGATCTTTCCAAGGAGCGCTGATGAAAGCCTGATCTTGGTATGAGTATTTCACGTTGCGCGGGACGGAAGGGGTTAGGTTCACGCCGCTGGATGTGCCACAAGCGAGCCACGCGATGCGGCGGTCGGGCGAGGAAGGGTTTGCGAGACGGTAAAGATCGGAGATGGTGGTGTCGAGGGTGATGGTGGGGAGACGGAGGGGTTCGGAGGGGTCGACGATGTCGGAGTCTGGAATGCGAGACATGGCTGAGAGGAGGTTGCAAATACGAGAGAGGGGCTGTACAGTGTTGGCGGTTGCGGGAGAGGAAGGATTCTGTAGGGAGGTTGGGGAGGGGGATGAAATAGGTCCACGGCTGGCGGGACTGGACACAGATGGTACGGCTTTGTCTCGGTTTGTTTGGCGTTGCAAGTCGAAGATTTTTTTGCGCGGGCGTCATGTTCGCGCGGAGGTGAGCAAAAAGGAGATCTGAGAGCATAGAGCGCAGCGAGGCCCCTGACATAGCATGTGTAAGGACATGACATCATGGCTGATCTCGCTCCCCCTCTCGAGATCTTACCAGCAGAGCTCACGGCCCAAGCTCCGCAGGGGCCCTGCCAAGGTGAGTTGTACTTTCTTTTGACCAAGCAGTAGTTTTTTTTTTTTT